GACAGTTGTTAATTGTGATGCATTATAGTACTTTAGTAGGTTCCTTAGTGTCATACCAAGTAGAGTTAACTGCAACTTTGTGAGATAGCAAGAAAAAATAACAGTTTAAAACTAAATATAAAATTAAAGTAATCTTTGCAGAACAGTGTGGAAATCGAGAGGTCGAACAAAAATTTGGTGTCAGTGAGGCACTTGTTTGCTACTGAAAATAAAAATAAGCTTTAAACAATGCAAAGTTTAATGTGAGGACATTTCATGATCCCAAGACTGGAAAGTATCCTGAACTTGAGGGAAAACTGTTATGATATGTTGAAGAAACACACAACAGTGGATGTGTTGTAACATGTGATATGTAGCAATCATGGACTTGCAATATTACTCAGACACAAAATATTTCTTCCCTTAAGCTTAAGGCTAGTCAAGGATGGATTAGCAGATTTATGAAGAGAAAAAATCTTTACACACTTATCAAAAATGGCTGTGTACTATTTGATGTGAGAGTTCAAAATATGTATGCAACATTTTTTAAATATTAAAATTATCTTATAAAATCATGACTTCTGTTAGTCAGTCAGGATTTCCTGTAAGAATAAATACTGATAGTCTACATCAGGGATGGACAACCCATGGCCCTCAAGCCACATCGCATAAAATATTAATAAATATATCAATTTCCCAGCTTAAAGAAGTATGCAGCAAAAATTCAAATGTTATTTTCTACAACTTACGTATGTGAATAGTTTTACTCTCAATGTATTTAGTAAAAATTAAAACAAGACATCAGCTAATAAACTTGCTTTGAAACTAATTTAAAACTAGCAGTGACTAATATTTAACCAAATATTTCTGGTATATTACATTTACATCAGTTCCAGAAGCTAAATTAAGTATACCTATGCTAATTTATAATTACAGTAGATCCCCCTATAAAACCGTTTCCTATAGTTATGATTCCTATAAAAATTGTGGCAGTACAGTAGATCCCCCTATAAAACCGTTTCCTATAGTTATGATTCCTATAAAAATTGTGGCAGTATCCGTAAACAACGGTAAAAATAACTCCTATAATACGTAAAACGTCATCAGGCAGCCGAACTACTTTCCCGCCGTCCGTAGCGCCACGCTACGGACGTTTAGGCGGATAAATTGAGTTTAGTATCGTCTGTTCATATAATTATATATAAATTAGGTACTGTACATATAATTATATATTAATTATATATAAATTAGGTACTGTATATATAATTATATATTAACTTAATTTATTGTAACTTTATTATAATTAAATATATATTTTTCGCCGTCTAGCGTCACGCTACGGCGAGTTAGGCGACCTATCGTCTGTTTAGTACTGTAATTTTATACATTTCTTGTGAAAGAAACATTTCTTATTTAACGGCCATAAAAATTATTTATATTAATGATGTCTCCAAAGGTCAACGAAGTTTTCGCAGAAAAATAATATCAGAAATCGCGGCCGCAATTTGATGCGCTGTTCCGCGACGAAACCAAGCTTTAGCAACGAGCGTAGTCAAAGGGTACACACTCGGTAAGTAATCCTACAATTTTTTGTTTATAACGTAGTTTATACGGATTATTTTCAAAAAAATATACGTATTTTGGAAATGTTGAGTCGAATTAGTCTAGAATCGATTAATTTTATGAAAGAAAACCTTTCAAACAGCCGTAGTCCGTAAACTATGATTCCTACAAAATTGATTCATAAAGAACGGAACGTATCTACCGTCTTATAGGGGGATCTACTGTATATATGAATAAATAATTGTGATTTACCAACATTTTTTTTCTCTTTTCTTTTGTATGTGGCCCGTGTTAGTTCAAATGCAGCCCTTATATAGAAAAAGGTTGCCCATTCCTGGTCTACACTTAAAAATAATTTGTGTATTTCTTGCTTCTCGATTTTCAATTAGTAAAAAATGGCAAAAAAGTGTGAAGAATATGCATAGAATTATTTTCTGTGTGTGTGTGTGTTATTTATTTATTTTTTAAATTCTTTTCTCCCCGTGGGTGAAAGATCCATTTTCCAGGCTCATCATAAGTTTGACTAGGCCTAAAATGAGGTTAGTAATTATCCCATTGTGGGTGATGGTAAGAGACAGGCCAATATATCAAGGACAGACTGTCACTGAAAAATTTCTGAGTCTTATTCAGATGCAAAATTGATCTCCCAGAATGACAGACTAAGGTTTTTACAGTCCTTAATGATTTGGCCATTCTTTTTCTTTAAAGTTTGTGATTATTTGACACTAATAAATTTGTAGTTCAAATCATATCTATTAATTTTTATATATGTATAAGCAAAACATCATTAGCAATAAGTGGGCAAGAAATAAATTATTTTAAAAGTATTGATATTTATATACTGCTATTTCACGTAAAGTTTTAAAATATATCAAGGTCTGGGATGAGAACCTTTCTAAGCCTGTGTGCCATATGGTAAGCATACCTATCTTTAAATATGTTTTTGCATTCCAAAGTTGCATTCCAAACTTCAAATGATGATATTTAAAGAAATGAAATGAATATACTTTAATTAGAATAAATGCAAAGAAAGCTGATTGAAGAAAGGATGATCAGATGATAAACCAATTGAAAAAGACAAGTGATAAATCAAAATCGTAGGATACGTTATGTGCCAGATGATTTATTCTTACATGCCATAGGTTCACCACCCCTGATCTAGGTTATTACTTATACTAATATTGATAATATAAGTAAAAATAGATTTTATCATTTAAATTTTTTCATATACAGTCGACCCCCCTATAAGATATAGATACGTTCCAATTTATTAGGAATCCGATTTCTTACAAGTCGTTCCAATCACAGCCCGACACGTGTCAAGTTTACGGACTACAGCTGATTGAAAAATATTCTTCCATAAAATTAATCAATTCTACACTAATCCGACTCAACATTTCCAAAATACGTATATTTTTTCGTAGTTTTATAGGAATCGTAATTATAGGGACCGTAATTATAGGGGGGTTGACTGTATGCTAAATATTTTAATTTTATATTAGTAACTATCATTACTAACACAAAATATAAATATTTGACTGACTCTGCTGCAGTCACTTTAATAATGTAATGAAAATTTTAAAATCAAAGAACATTAAATAGAGATGCCTTCAGATACTAACGGGTTCTTTATTTAAATTTTAAATTAGTTCATTGAATTATTAAATATACAGTTTTGCATTTGAAAACAATATTATTGTCAAATCACATGACTTTCAACTTCAAACTTGAGTTAATGTAGATCTCATTACTATATTTAATCCTTTTTCACTGAGATACTTTAACCCTCCACTTCTCTCCCCTGCGGGGGATTTTCAAAAATTTTTTCTTAGGATGCATTCTCATGATGTACCCTACTAAAATGTAGTTAAAAATAAAAAGTTGCATCTAAAATAGTACAGTAGAAGCTGAGTTCTTTAGGATAAGATTTAATCTGCTCTCTCTCCATTGTGGGGGGAACTTCAAAAAAATCCCTTCTTAGTGTACCTTCTTGTGACGTACCCTAACTGTGTACCAAATTTCAACTTTCAACTCCGAACCATTTGGGCTCTACATTTATTATCATTATCAACCCATTTCAATTATAAGATGTAACTCGTGTATATTCTATTCAGTTTTAAATTTAATTTGTATGTTTGACAACTTATGAAGATCCATTAACTGGGTCAAAAATGTTTTTTTTTTTTCATTAAATCATACTTATTGGAGTAATTTAAGATGTTGATTTTTATTTATATGCAGTATCAACAAATATTAAATGTTATATAAAGTAAACATTTTATTTATTAAGAATATTTATTGAATTTATTAGGTCATACTAATAATTGTTGAAATTAAATTTTATACAGGTATCCCTTGATTAATGCGATTAATGTCTCAATACTACTGTGTAAATCTCATTAATCAAATGTGATATCTATGTTAAGTAAAGACTGTTGGTAAAGTCACGTTAATTAAAACTGTTGCTGCCTATATAAAAGAATTGCCACAATTAATATTGCACGTTAATCAAATCCAATGTTAAACAAGGGATACCTCTTTTTCAAAACTACTATTTAGGCTAAATGGATTTTAATTCAGGGTATTATGTTAATTTTCATTTTGTAATTTATTGTTAAACAAGTTTGAATAACATTAAAAAAAAAATAATAATAATAATAAGATAAAATTATTTTTTCCTCATAAGCATGTAATTATAAAATAACTTTTTATGAAATCTATTACAATAATAATTTACCATATTTACTCATGTATAAGACGACCTTGCATATAGGATGATGTGTGACTTTAAAGATCAAGATAAAGAAAATTAGATTTATTAATATAATTCTAATTTTATTTTGTTTCATCACAAATAAAATATTATCAAATGTGTGTAAATACACACATTGTTTTGCAAAAATTACTGGCATTTTAAACTTTAAGGAAAAATCGTGTAAAATCAACAACATAATTTGTTCATGTAAAGCTGGACAATTGGGAACCTTTTTTGCCAATTTTTAAGTTGAATTCACCGTCCGTAGATTACACTTATGAGTTTCTCCAAATTCTGATTCCTGAATAATCATCTGTTTTCATGTGAGAATGGATTAAAACTTATACCGGGCTCTCATGTGATTTTGGAATTCAATTCAAAAGCTTTGCTTTTCCTATTGCTATTCATCTTTACTCCCGACAATATACAAGAATGATTGAAATGACCCAGATAAAATACTTTTGTTTTTAAACATCAGAGGGTGAGCGTCTGGTAAAAAGTGCGACTACATAGTTCAGAAAATTTATTGCAAAAATGCAAAATCCTTCATTCTTGCATATAGGTTTTATATAACTAGGTTTTTGAAGCAGTGAAAAATTAATAAAAACCTCGTCTTATATGTGAGTAAATACAGTATTTTAAGGATTTGTTACTTTTTTATTAATATTTTAACAGTCATTAATAATAATTTTTTACAAAATAGAAAAGAGAGACGCAAACATCAGAATGCCAAACTGCTTCAGTGTATTAAAGCTGGAAAAATAGAGGTAAATGTTAAATTATTTACAGTACATTAATATTAAAATTTTTGTTTATAAATTTTCACAAGCCAGGAAATAATTTATCAAAGCTAAGAAAACAATAAGTTAAATGCTTAAACAACTTGGATGTTTAAGCATTTGTTAAGTAAAATTTCAAATTTCTGAGACCTGAATGCAAGAAAAACATTGCTCTTTGAAGAATAGAATGTTCTATAAGTGTTCCATTCAGATTTTAAAAGATAACATTGAATCCTTCCATCAGATAAAGATCTGGCTGAAATAGTATCAACTTTACAGCTGTATTATAATATGATAGTTAGAAAACTTGAATTGTATAAGTACAGTTGTTGTTCAAATGGCAAATATTGTCAGATTAAATTTTTCTGGCAGTTCTAGGTCTGACATTATTCTTAATAGGTTATAAGGTTATATTTTAGTTGTAGAAACAAAAGAATGCCTGTCTAGTTTTTGTCTACATTTTGTATTAAAAAAATTCAAACTAAAATATTTTGATACATCAAAACTTGTTAAATGTGTTAATATAAAAACAAGTTTTATTGAAACGTTTTAGTAAAGTAAAACATTCATTCATTTTTACTTGTTTGTATTTATTAATTCATGATAAAAATCTGGGTAAAAAAGACCAGTTTGAAAACTTGTTCATGTAATTTGTTGTTTTCTATACAAGAAATCTTGTATGCTCATTTTTGTTAGTACAGTTTGTATTTTTACTTATTCAATATAATTTATCATAAACAAATTATTTTCATTTTTTAGACTCATTTATTAGGTGTGTATCGCAGTACAATACCAAGTGAACGACATAAATTGTTCCATAGTAATGTTGCTTCTGAGAGAAATAAACTAAAACATGTTTCATGGTTTGGACCAATTGATGATGAAGAACAGGTAAAAATATAGTTTTACAAAAATTTATAATCATATTTCATTGAGCATTCTAATTTTATTTATTTATTTTTTCTTTTTAGCAAGAAGAAATATATGATTATTGCTTGCAATTGTTCAAATCATCATGTGAATATAAAGATACATTTGATGTTGTTGCTTACATGTTTGAAGTTTGGGTTCCAGAGGTAAGCTTATTAAAATCTGTGTAATAAATTTATAACTGTTATATGAAATTTTTTATTTATTTCAAATTCTTTAACTCTCAGTCAGCCATGTAATGACAAAGTTTAGCATCTGTGGTAAAAGGTGAAAAATGTTTAACCCAAACTATATAATTATTATTGCTTTTAGTTAATAAAATAAAAAATGTTGATAACTTTATAGTGAGGATATGGCAATATAACAGAGCCACATTGCCATATCCAGTATTCCACCATTCTTAGTTATTTTTGACTGGAATTTAAATGGAATGTTCTATTCATGGAACATTTTCTAAAAACGGTTTCAGAAACCTGATGATGGCCTATAGGAGTAGGCTGAAAATGTTAGTTATTAAGAGTATTCTCTCAGCAAATGCATAGTCATGGTCATAAATTTGTAATTTTTCTCAGCTGTGCACATAAGAATTGTTATTTTTGACTTTATATTATTAGATTTTACTGCACATTAGATGATTATTTGAGTAAAAGTTTAATCAAATTAAGAATTATTATTAATTTATTTATTTTACAAGATAATACAGCAAATGAAAAAATTTTCTCTTAAAAGATACGGAGTTTTTTCTCATTTTTGAGTGAATAGAAATAGAAATTTGTTTTTTTGAAATAAGCTCATAAATGATATCATTTATTTCAGACTTATAAAATGCATGTGTGAGTATATCCTTTGTAATATATCGTTGTATGTTTTGATTGAATACACAAACATTAACACGTCATATATAATTTTATTGACAAGTAATTTAATTGCATATATATACAGGATATAGACATATCTAAATACAAGCACACAAGAGTGTAGATAGTAATGGGCTATTCAATGGCATGGTTGCCATGCATCCTGAATCCCTTCTCATGGGACCAAATCCTATCTTAGTTCGTACAGAAAAGTCCTGATGAAGGTGGGTTGGAGATGCATGACAGCTACACCATTGAATAACCCACTACCAATTTATTTTAGGCAACAAGTTTTAACTTTCAATCTGTATTCTGGATGAAACAAAATATTCTTTACTACAGTAAAAGATACAAACAAGCTACTTATATGTTACATTTGAAAATGCATACTGTTGACTTCCTCTTATATTACAAATTATTCATTTTCCAGAATAAAAACCAACAGTAGTAAGAGAACATAATAGAATACATTAACCTTGATAATGCTTTTTCATCATGTTGAGATCCTAATGGAAATGTTCTGTCTGCTCACCACTTAGGGCACAAAAAGTATCCAGGAGTGAGTGGAGAAAGTGCAGCTTTAGAGACATTCAACAATTCAGATTCTTGAAACTGTGCAGGAGATTGTTCATAAGGTCCATACAATGGAGTTTGTTTTGTATTTCCAAGAAAACCAGCACATGCAATTGCAATCTATTTGTGTGTTTCCAATTCCAATGAATTTATTCATTTATTCTCAGAAATCAAATAAACAGCAACCATATTACAGTGAGAAATTTATTGTTGTTTCAAATTCTGCTCTTGGGCAGTTTTCTTATTTTGAGCCCTAAGAAAACTCCTGTAACCTTAGACTCACTCATCTGGGAAAATATACGAGAAAAATGATTTTCTCATGGAAAGTGCTTCCATTCTTGTCCAAAACTTTCACAAATGCTACCATTAGACCAAGTTGGATATAAAATGTGAGTGGTATTATCTTTCTGGGTTCAACTATTCAAACCTTTCACCTGGTGTATAATTATTATGATTCAGCTAATTTCTCTTCATGGAATGGGTTGCAGCTCTCCCATTAACACTGGAAGTATGTAACTTCCCTGCAGGCTGAAAAGTAGTGCAACAACTTTAAGATCACTGCAGACATACCATGCATCTTTGTGGATTTCAGTGAGTATTGTAGCCAGTGTATCCTATGCTTTCTTCACTCCTACAGCTTGGACCAGGGAAATTGAATACCACTTATTTCCATCATGCAGTAAATACATCTTTCAAGCTAATTTAGTTAAATACACAAAAAGATGCCATTCACAGGAATTTTAGCTGAATGTGAGTTTATATGAAACTCTTAAGACCAAACCATTGCACAGTGATGTATAAATTACTCAAATTATGCAGATATGATGTCAAGTTTATCTCAAAAACAATGCATGATGGAAAAATTTAAATGGAGAACCCAAAATCAGCATGCCAAAATTAATTAGAGGTACTATTAATGTTTACTTTCAGGATACAAAATGATTTTTTTTTCTAGTGTTGTTTATACTCTTGTGCATTTGTATTTAGCTAATACACTCCTGCTCATAATTATAAGAACATCATCATTTTTATGTTATCTCTAATTACAGTTAAAATACACTTAAATTAATGGAATGTGAAGGTTATACAGAAGTACTTTTTCACTTTAATGTCACATCACAATATATGCAGAGTTTGCAAAAGAACCTAAAAAAAATAACAAAAATTAATTTTAAGACATGTCCAAAAGTATAAGGACAGCATGTATGACAATTTTTTTTTTTTTAGTTGGACTTGATATTTACATACTCTTTTTAACTAATTTGCATATATTGGCAATTCAGTCATGTGACTAGATAAAACAGTTTACTACAAGCAAAATGCCCTGTGGCAAGTAGTTGGGAGAAAGTGAAGTTTGGAAACTTAATGGAGCAGGAAAATTAATTAGCACCATTGCTGAAGAAATCAACAGATCAAAGAAGCAATTGAAATGTATTAAAAAGAATAACAAAAATTTATCAAGACATGATAGGAAGGAGAAAGAAGTTAAATGGAAGGAACATTAGATGGATATTTACACTAGAAACCAATGACAAGATGTTTGCTAGCCAAATTTCTAATCAAATATCAACACCTGTTTTGGGTATCACTATTATCCATGTTCTCCATTAATCTGCTTATGCAGAATATGCAAAATTGAAGAGAAAACCTGTTCTAATTCTATTGCTTAAAGAACAACACAGAGCGGCCATTTCCAAACAAATGGAGGACAATGTATAGTGGGAAAATGTGTGTTATATGATGAAGTGTTTCAACTTAATGGCCCTGTTGGCATGCATTGCTGTTAAAATGATTTAAGGAAAGAACCAAACATTCAAATGAGCAGACAACAAAATAGGCATGATAGTGTGAAGTGTATTGTCATCAAGAGGAAAGACTAATTTAGTAGTTCCTAAAATAGTGAATTTAAAGAAATATATAGAAGTATTGGATGTGTAATTGTATGTTTATGAATGGCTTCTGGACAGAAATTTTTCAGCAGGATAATACAACCTATCACACATCTTGTGCGACCAAATAATGGATGGAAAAATTTGTTTGAAGACCAATTGCTGAATTGGTCTTTAAGATCACCAGTCCTCAACGTTACAGAAAACATTTCAGGACAAATGGTTCATGCAATGTATAACAAAAACACGCAATTTTCATCCCTTAATGATCTCCAAGATGCAGTATATGATGCTTGGAATATTACATCACAAGTGCCTTTCAAAACTAACTTGAAGCATAACAAAATGCTTAGCTGAGTGTCTGAAAAAGAAGGTGGTAATACAAATTGATATAGCAAAACAAAAAATACTTGTGTGTTGTCATATTTTTGACATGTCTGAAAATTGATTTTGTTATTTTTTTATGTTCTGTTGCAAACTCTGTAAATATTATGACATTAAAGTGAAATTTACTTTTGTAGAACCTTCACATTCCATTCATCCAAGTGCATTTTAGCTGTAATATGTAATGATATGAAATTGAGTCACTGCATCTACCTGAGGTCATGAATGAGGGAAAACTATTATCATTACTTGGTTTCTTACTTTCTCAGGACATCAGGATATTTAATTATAAGGAATACTCAAGGACGTCCTTTGTGTCCTTGGATAGATGCCCTGGAAAAGTAGGAAACCAAGCAATAAAATATTATCTCTAAATTGTTTCTTACACTAACAGTAGTAATAAATAACATCCGAAAAATAAAACATGAACAATTTACCAAAATTTGTGTGTCCAAATAGTATATATTGTAACAAAGGTAACAAGATGCAAAATCACATCAAGCAATATTATTTTATTAAACTTTTGTATCAGAAAATTGTGTAAGCTATTTTCACATTCAGATTTCTCAGCATCAACAAATTGTTGTCAGGCTGTCTTTGTGAGATTTTGGAGTTTGATATTTAAAATATTAGGATTTTTATATCTAATTTTTTGAAAAGTTGGTTTAAGTTTTGAATTAATGAACATTCAGCAATTTTATTTCAGCACACAAATTATATAAAATTTTGATAATTTATTATTTACATATTTGTGCTGACTCTTCTCAAGGAATAGTAGTAAATTTTTTAAAATTTCACCAGTTTGCCTCGAGATGAACATTAATTTTATGCAATTTATATTTGTTTTATAACTTACTTTTTTTGTCGGCAGGCAATCGTGAGAGCCATAGCAAGAGTACGTAGAGTAAAAATGAATCAGGCAGAGAATATTTTTTCGAGAGGAGTGAATTGGAGCAAGGCCGAAAAGGAAGAGGCAAAACGAGAATTTGAAAACTTCCAGATGACGGATGAAGAGCGTCAGGAACACAGAGAAAATATGGCTGACAGTCTGAGAATCGCCGGTGTAAAAGAAGACATTATCCAGTCATTGAATTTGTAATTTTAATCACTATTTTAACTACATGTAATTTTTCCATAAACAAATATAAAAAAACTAAACGTAAAAAAAATCAACTCCAAATATTTCAGTTTTCCAGTTAAGGGTGAAGTTTTCTTCCCGTATTTGCTTGCTACAGATAGCGATATTTGAAAGTTGTACGACTGTAAATTACAAAATATAACTAGAATTTTTTTATTTATTAGTGCTTGATTACATTCTACATCAGAAGAATATCAGTTTTTATCAACAGTTAAAAAGCAGTTAGACAAATCTATAAAGGAAATAGGTCATGTAATTGAGATTTTAAAATGTACCCAAAATTTTTTTTATTAGTAGTGCTATGATATGTTGTACTTAACACATTGAACGTCATGTACAGGAATTCTTGAATATGGAAAAGTTTAAATTGTCTTTGTTGCTTTGCATTCTGAATTTCCTAATTATATGTCATTAGGATAATTATTAAATAATTAATAAAGAAGTAATTACAAGTTGTAAGAACAAAGATTGTGCCAAATTGAATAATAGATTTATATAAAGTCCAGTTTGTTTTTTGTTTTTGAAATCACAAGAGCATTTTACATTGAGCTTAATACACCTTGCATATTTTAAATTTGAATTATATAGTATGTTTGTAGTTTTATGTATTATAATTAGTTGGCTACATAGAATATATCTGTTATTTGCTTATTTTGTTTATGCAGTCAATTTAAAAAAGTTTAAATTTGTCGAAATTCGAATGTAATGGGAACTCAAAAGCATACTTGCTGCAGTTTGGGTCAAAAATTTTTGGTCTCGTAAAGGAATTATGCTTTGCCCGTTATTCAAAATCTTATTCTCATTCGTTTTAATTTGTATTCTATTATAAGCAGTTTCAACAATCATGCCTGTTGTTTATATGAGAAGGAAAAATATTTGAAATAGCTTTAAGATTTGTATTGGTAAGGGGTTTTGCATTAAACATCATCAAATTATATATACATATAGACATACACAAACACAACACAAACATATATATATATACTGTAAAAATGTTTTGCATATATAAAACATTGCAAGTTTATAGAGTACATAAAAAAGTACGAATTCTATAATTCTAAAATACGCATTTTTAATTGTTGTCATATGGTCTGTAGAACCATAATTCCTATGTGAGGTTTCTATATAGATTTATTTGTTGAGATAGAAATTTCCGTATTTAGAAATATTTAAGTATATCGGTGACGCCTACGCTATATGTTTTTTTTTACATATATATGTTACACATAAAAAAACACCCATGTATGCATATATATATGTTGAATATGTACATTATGAAAAAAATGATATTATGACGTTCTTTATAAGCTCAGTTTAAGGAAGTCCGATTCAATTTTGTTTCTCTTGTAGTAGTATAATTTGAAAGGTGGAAAAATGCCTTATTAGAAGAGAATAACTACAAGGATGCTTTGTAAAATTCATCCAATTAAAAATAATGTGTAATGAATTAGTTTTATCAAATTTTTCCACATTGTTATTAAATGTTGAATTTTAATAATAATAATAATAATAATGATGATGATGATGATTTTAGAATTGCTTTTGTTTATTTTTGTCATAGTCCATTGGAAGCATTATGTAAATCATGATATTACACTGCCTATTTAAATACGAAATTTTAGAAATCAATTTTTTGCATGCAACTGCAGTGTCGTCACGACTGATGGGAGAATAACCATAGCTTTTGAAAAAATGACTTAAAAAAATAAAAAAAAGAACATTGTAGTAATGGCTGCATCGTGTCGTGCGGTAACATGTTGCATAGTCTTTAAAATCTCATATTTTCACTCCAGATCTACGGAATGTTTGCTTTTTGTGCGTAAATGTTCAACCGTGGAGAAAAAGGCAACGTTCGGACGACAAAAATAAATATATAAATATATATATACACAAATATATATAAAAAAATTTTTTGTGTAATTTTATGTAGTTGATATCATCATTGTTACAAGAAATAATTCTTGAAAAAGTTTTTGAATTTGTCTCCTGTAATCTGGTTCTTGTGTCTATTATTATTTTGTTATAAATGTTTGGTGATGTGAAATTTATTGCATTCCTTAATGTAACGTACATGGTGTATTTTCACCAGAACTACGAGATGTCTTGTTCGGGGTTGCTCGTCGAATCCTTGTGAAAAATAAAGGCTTGTCATTTGTTTTTCAAGTTGTTTATGCCAAATCATTTCTTTTAGTTACATTATATCTCAAGATTACATTTGTCTTATTCAGATGTAGGCTTTAGAAGTCATTTAAATTTTGTTTATTAACATTTTCAAATTTTAATCCATTCTCAGATGACAACATAAAATTTATATAACTTCTAAAACTTGTATCCAAAGAGAATGTGTTCATTGCAAAAGGGAGCATATGAAGATACATATACAAAGAAAAATCTTTATTTTCTTGATAAACAAGGTCCTTTGGATTCCAACTCTCTTCAGTCCACAGATTTATAGAATTTGTACAGATTTTTGCTAACAACTAACTTTGATTAAACAGTAGGGAAGAACCACAACCAATATTAGGTTTGCAACAATTATTATTGATCGATGTCATCATGACAATGAAATAAAAAGGATTAATTCTGAAACCTTAATACTAATTAAACACTGAATAAGAAAGAATTAAGAGAGAAGTTTATAGGAAATTGGGTACCTGTTCTACATAGTCCTAGGTGTAGTGACACTCTTGATCCTGGTTTCTTACAGAAAAAAAAAATCTCTTGTCTTTTCTGGAAGTATCTCTTTGGTATTCTCTGTTAGTCTCTATTTTTTCTCTTTGCCATACCTGAACTCAGAATCATGAGAGCTTCTCCTCACCTCCAGCCACTGCCAATACACAGCCTGAAGAGTGACATGTTCATGTCCTCTTGCTTGGATGGCCAGCCAAAAAGTGTCTGTTCTCACTGCTTAGCCCGCAGAGCTTCTTTTCTTTTGTTCTATATATGAGTCACCAGCATGCAAGGAGAAAGAGTTAAGAAGGAACATTCTAGAAAAGATAGACAATGGAACAAAAAAAGAAGACAGGAAACTATACTATATTAAAAATAAAAATATACACAATATGGCATACTGTCACAAGAAAAGTGATTTATCAATATATGAATGTGTTGGACTGAAGGTGAAGGATTTTTTTAATCAGAAAGTCACTTTTCATTTCGGAGATATCTGAAAAGATCCTGAATTCATTAACATAGGAAGTTGTATATATTCAGCATTCATGTATAATCTCACAGGTGCCTGATAATAAATGGAAACGATCAAAAATATCCTATCAACGTACTAATTTTTGTAAGCTATTTTTATTTTATGAAAAGAAGAAAAATATGTCCTCAAAAATTTATTTCTGTATTATACAGTGGGAAAAAGTTTAAGTAAAGTTTTACATATGATATTGCGGTTTCTCCTACAGCAAATGCTGGAAATGTCCTTTGGAGACTCCCGAGATCCTGGGAGGGAGCAAGGTCTGGAGACATAACGGACCAGATTCCACAGGAGATTATGCAACTGGGAAAGAAGTCTTCCAAAAACTAGAAGATTATGAGCAAGCAGTAACACCATCCACCAGAGTGGAAATGTGGGGAGCACAACTTATACATACAGCATTAAATAAGATACCTGTAACTTTAATGTCATTACAAATTTCTTACTGCACAGTAACTTTCATACACCATTTATATTTTATCCAGCTGTACTAGAAACAAAAGTCTAGGTTCACTAACTACAAGTTAGATACTGAATATCAAAATATTTTATTTAATTTGTGCTTAATTAAACATTTTAAAATTTCCAAGAGCTACATTAATTTACTGTGAAATTTCTTTAAATTCTTATTGTTTCTTAATATTCACTTTATTATTATTAACTGCACAAAACAATGCCTCACTTTTTGAAATTTAATTTAGACCGAAAACTGATTGAGCATTAAATTATCCTACACCACACCATTAAAAAAATCTTATGAACATTTATCAGTTACTTAAAAATATTCAAAGAACTACAAAGAACACAATTTTATATATTTTTTATTTTTCAACTAACAAAAATATTATTCACAGAAACACTTGAACCAATGACAGTAACCAAATATTGCCCCCTGGCTACTGCAGATCTCTTGACAGTCCACTTTATTACCATCTTGTCCGCACACGTAAAACTCTCCGCTCTCGGCTTTCGGATAGAAACCACCCCAAACTATAAAAATTAAAATGTTAAGAAAGGAAATTTTCTCTATAACTTAAAAAATGCAAGAAAAACTCACCTAAGCTGAATAAAAACAGAAAGCAGAAACATTTGAAAACGGCCATTTTCGTATAAAATTCTAAAAATAGACTAGCAAAAGTTAAGAATTTGTATGCTACTTCAAAAAACCTACAGAACTTATAAAAATAACTCACAGAAAAGTTTATCACACCGAACGAGTGATCCCACTTGTTAATAAGAGAAGGTTTAGCCGGATAACATTTGGTATATATACCTAATCTATCACGTTAATTGTTTCGAAAAATGTACCAGAGTTCAGTCCGACTATCGCATTTCTCCTTTATAGGAGGGACATTTATAGAACAAGAATTAACTTACAGAAAGAAAACAAACAGGATATTGATTACTATTAGTTAAGAAAATGTAAATTTAGAACATATCTGACCATTAAATTGCATGAACATTTATTACAATAAGTAACAAATTGGAAGCAACTTAGAAATCAGTTTATTAACTTAAACACCATACAAGTTGAGTGATTTTTCGAGTACTCAGAACTCAAATAGGAAGTTTTCTTATATTTTTTCCCTGCAACTCGAAGCAGAAACAGTTATCATAGCAACATTTTCCATCGGTTTCCATTCTGCCGTGGTCCTTGCAAATTCTGCCACATTCCTTATTGCTTTCACAGCGGTATAAAAGTCCATTTGAATCTCTTGGAAATTCTCCTTTTCCTGTTAACTCATTCATGGCACCTTGAACAGTTTAATTATGATAATTAATTCTAAATTCAAGAATTTGTATACAATTAATAAAGGTTACTTACATGTTTGATAGTCTGGATATACCATTACAAAGATGGAAAATAAAAGCATCGAAGAAAAAAAAAGAGCCATCTAGCTAGGAAAAAAATCAGAAATTAAATTATTAATTATACTAAAAATTCAATTAACTCAATTATTTTTGTGCTTAAATCATTAGAAATAATATCTAAAAAATCTAGATGTGGTTATTTATTCGTATCAAAGGATTCAATGTTATATTTTTAAAATGGCACCCATTTTCATGTCAATTTGATGATAGATTATTAATTTTGCATTAATTTATGAAAAAACATTAATAAACATGTAATAAACAAAAGTTTGTAAGGTAAAGTAATTAAAAAATTGTTTTAGAATAGTAAAATTCATCAACTACAGAATTGCTGTTATAAATAATAATTACTTTTTTAAATTAAGTAAAATTTAAAACAGTTCACAATGTTATTTTAACTGTAATTAATGTGAACAAAATCAAATCATTCCACACTTTATTTAAATTTCAGTTAAAGTGAGAATTTTGCTAATTTATACACAAATTTGATGAGAGAATTCACATTCAAATTTTATACTTTGTAACAAAGCAAAATTCTTTTATATTTCTTTATATTCAGATTTAATTTTATCAGTTTTTATGATAATTTATAACAAAATCTGTTTAAAAAAAATAGAATTATGAAGAATAGAAAGTAAAAAAATAATTGCATTTTTACAATTAACTAACAAGATTTTTAAAACTCATTTTAAATTCAGCAAAATATAGGAAAATGATGCCAGAATCATGTATTAAGTATCAACTTACCTGCTTAAATTTAATTAAAATTTATTAATTTAATCGAGTTTTACTTTTAAATATTAAAAGTAATAAAATTTTATACCCATTTCAATCAAAATTTTATTATTTAAATATGTTCATTCCCAGTTTTTCAGTTGCTCCAACCAATAAAAAATGTTCATAACTCGATGCCACAACCAATTTTTAATTTAATCTGCATAAATCGACTTATATAAAAGTCATGTTGGATAATTAATTAAAGAAAACGAAATGATTAAGTTTCTAATGAAAAAAGAAAACTTAATTAGAGAGAGTAATGTAGTTCGGTCCCATTTATTTTACGCTCTAATTGTTACGGATTAATTAATTTCTCAATAATTTTAAACGGGAATTGCTCGTTGCCGTTTTTAATTTTAAAAGCATTGTTTGTGCCTAATTAAAGTACTGTACAAGGGCAACTATACCAACGTATCATTTGTTACGTTTGTTTAAAGAAAATATCAACTATTATAAAGTGTAAAGTGGGCTTTTCAAATGGGTTAAATACTAGAAAAATTACTTTGTGATGGAAAAAAACCCATATTTTCGAAAAATCCGCACTCGCTGCCATGTTTAGAGGCATAATTTTTCAGTTGACTCCTGTGTTTCATGTAAGAATAAGTGTAACAAATTGAAAATGTTTTAATCATTTATGTAGATAGTATGGTTAATGTAATATTATATTAACAAAATTTTAGCCTTTTTTGATCATTAGGAATAAAAATACCCCTCTCTCGAGTTAGCTTATGTCGTCAGAAGTTAAAACTATTCGTAAATACACAGGTGCTATTTCAGGCAATTTTGTGATAGCCGAGCATGGTCTTACGTCATTAATGACTCATCGTTAGCAATTGTCAGGTACAAACGAATTTCTCCCTCCCCTATAAACTGTTGACGTAGGCTAATACTCGAATGGTCCTCTGTTCCGGATTTAAAATCGTTGCCCTAATCTACAATATATACGCAAAAGCCTATCAAACGATAATAAATGTCAAAGCACGGAGTCTCAAACTTCAGCTTTCCAGCAATAGCCCTAAGCTGTAACTTTGGTTATTTTGTGTTAATTAACAATATGGAAAGCATTTCGTATGCTGCACAATCGTGAATTGTAGGTAAACGGTTCAAGATGGCGCAAATTGCATCATCTTGAACCGTTTAATTTTATGAAATTACAGTCGACCCCCTATAACACTGTTGATTATTCCGTTTTATATGAATTCCATGTTGTACGAGTCACTTAGATTTTACAAATATGTGAGCCATTTATAGCCGTGCACTCGTATTTGTAAAATCTAAGTGACTCGTACAACATGGAATTCATATAAAACGGAAAAAGCAACAGTATTATAGGGGGTCGACTGTATAAAATCTGGAGGTTCGAGGAGAACAGTAACACCGTAGACTATGCAAAGTCTAACAAAACTTGCAAAAATTCAACGAAATAAATATTCTTATCATCTTTTTGTCTTTATTTTATTATCTTAAAACATGAATTATGATTTTATTTAGTAGGAAACGTGGATGGATAGTGATTTAATTAAAGGAAGTAATAATAGCTACAAAACAAATCAAATGCAGTAAGAGTCAGTTTTTTTTTAAATTAAAATCTGAAGTTTTATTTTGATTTTATTGAATTGAAACAATTTTTTTTTAAATAAAACATTTTTACATTAAATTAAAACACATTGAATACAAATGTATCATGTATATCAAAACACGATATATGGCATTTCTACATTTGAAGGTTCTTCTAGTTTTCTTTTTTTTGGGAAGCTGCTTCTCATCGTGGTCTGTTTGGCGTTATAAATTAATAGTGAGGGTACTTTTCCAGGCCAGATCCTGTAACATATGTAAAACAAGTTTTTAGTTGAGTGCAGTGATAGGATACTAAATAAAATCTGCGTGTGAACAATCAACGATAAGTTCAATATTACATCGTAAACTTCTAATTCGGTGAGAGGAACAAAAAAATAGGTAAAGAACACCATTAATTTATATTAAGTGAACAAACAATAAACAATTTATATACCCTTGGCTTAAGAGATTTTTGTTTCTAAAATCTTTTTCCGTAAAATGGTCGGAACACGCGATATAATTTCTATTGATATTTAAATATTCTGACCCTTTTATTTTTAAAATCTCGTCTAAATCGGTCCTTCTGCTGTTAATAACACACTAAATGTATCTGAATATCAATATAAACACATACGTTGAATGATAACAATATTTTAAAGGAGGAATGTTGATATAAATGAAAAGAATCAAATTGCTTATTAATTTAAGGAGTCTGTAAAACGACTTACGGTCACTTTATATCTTGTAATTAAAACAGCCATACATAGCGCAAATAACACCTCTTCCGGCCATTCTAATTATTGCGAGATGTAAGTTCAAAACTTTACGTTAATATCCGTAAACGTCTCCTTATACACGCAGCACAAAATGGAGTGAAGTGTAATGTAGTTATGTACCTTTTCCACGAATAATTCGGACTGAATATTTTTTTCTGTCTTTTATCTATGCCGACCGATCACATTACGCGTGAGGTCCATTCGTAACAAGCAAATCCGAGATACCGTACATTACGTCGTCTATAGTGTACCGGTGCAACAATATGAAATTCGGTACGAGCCCGTTTGATTCGATACGGTGCACGTTTATTATGCAATTCAACAAAAAAGACGAAATTCAAAACTATAACTGTTTAATAAAAATGATAAATTGTAAGAATATTTAAAACACTCAAATTTTTAACTTTGGAAGGGAACGTAACCGTATTTTACGTAATGACAAATCTTTTAACGAAACGGTAATAAAAATATATGAACATATATTAATTAATTTATAAAAATATATAATAAAATCTAATAATAATTTTTATATTTTAATTTTATATTAATAAACTTTTTTAAAGTGTCAAGAAAGTTAGAATGAGTAGGAGAGGAGGTGTCGCTTCTTTCGACATAAAATGGCGTACGTTGCTTGGTCCGATTGACCGACGAGTCGATTCATCCATGCTTTTCTGCTACGTTCCGCTTCTTTTAAGTCATAAAATCGAATTCCTGCACGCTAACGAGCCGACGATCTGTCCCGACATCGGATAGATAAGAAACAAACATGAATTCGTTGCGATTAAAGCAGAGAGGACAAACTTTTAAAACTTATGTTGATCTCGGTTTGCAGCAAAAAGAAGATCCGGAGTTCTCGTCCAATTTAGTAAGCGAAACTTTTCAATTTCGTAACGTTACTCGTGACAAAGTCGAGCCAATGTTGTAATACTTTGTTCTATATTTAAACTTGAAACCGAAAGTAATTTGGATTGAGAGGCAATGTTTAAATTACTTAAATGACATTGATGTAAACACAAAGTGCTCTTGAAAATCGCCACAGAAAATATTTATAATTATCCCTCAAACGTAAAGTACCCGAAATTGCAATTAACTTGTATACAATTTATTTAGTATTGAGTCTAATATTATATGAGTTAATTATAACTCATTTAAAAGAGAATTCAAATAATTACAGTGAAGTATTAATAATAGATTTAAAATGAAAAATAATGATTAGTTGCAGGAAAAATTTAATTTTCTGTACTGTCGTGTTTGTAAAATAAACTCTGAGAAGTATCTAAAATGCATTATCATTGATAAAAAGTATGAAAAAAATGTACTTAATTGTATTATTTTCCTCTTTCAAATATTTACCGTAATTATACAAAGTTTTATGTAGGGCCTCGTTGGCTTCGTACTAGAATCGTGGGCAGAACTGTCTAGGCATACTTGGCTGTTTGTTATTAATATATAATGCCCTTTTTGAATGGATGAAATGTATCAAATTAATAATAATAAGCAGTTTAAAAAATTAATGTTATTTTCATTAACAGAAAATAAATAAGATGAGAAACCACTGCTGGGCCTTAAGTTTTCTCTGGAACTGGTGAAAAATTCCAGCATTTTTCTTTCAACTGCCCTGATTGTAGACCATTCTTATACAAGAGAAATCTAAAATGAATTATAGGTCTTAGAGCAATGGTGCATAAAGCTAGGATATCTAGGCACAAAAAATCATAACTTCTATGATTTTTATACCATTTTTTACCACTCGTATAACTTCTAACTTAATCTATATGCTTTTTGTAACTACTTGTGACTTTTAGTGCCGAGATCGAGCGACTTTCTTGGGACGTAGCCTATCGGTGAACTTTGTGGACTTCTGGTGGAATGTGTGTGTCTTACTTGACGGGCTTTAAGCTTACGACTCTGTACCGATGTAGTTCGTAACTGCTGGTATGTTAGGTTATAAGTTAAAAAATAATATATGCTAATGATAATAAATTATGTGTTTCTAGTTTACATACCATCTTTTCACTGATCAAGTTTAAATGTTCTCTGTCATGAATATCAACTGAATTAGGGTTGCATAAAACCTTGAAGCAGAAAACGGGAAAACAAAATTACATGGCTGAAGCTTTGGAAACTGCTTATTGGGTCTTTGTGGGCTACGGGTTGTTCGTAAGGTTTATTTGAAAAGAAGTCCTTTATTTTAGCTAAACTCTCCTTGTCCTTTATTGAAATGAGAGAGAATGTGATTTGTTCTTTATTCAAATTTTTTGATGACTGTGATCGATTTTCAAACAGGTGTATTCCTATCCTTATATTAATCCATAACCTTCTCTATAGAAAGATCTATCAGTAAATAAAAAACTCCACCATACCTTTAAAATGCAGTCTATTTAAAAATCTATTTACAAAATCGCATCGGCATGGAAAGCGGCAACGTTTAAATTATAATAATGAGCATGCGCAATTGAGAAGATTATAGAACGTGCAGTTTGGAATTTCCGTTTTGCAAATTTAAAATCTGATAGTTCGATCCTGAAGAAGGTCTGTGAATCTGACCGAAAACGTTCGATAGGTGTAAAATAGACTGCATTTTAAAGGTATGGTGGAGTTTTTTAAATAGTAATACTATCAGTAAATGTTTTAAATTTTAAATTAAAATTTACAAATATTAATCATCAATATGAAAACTATAATTATTAGATAAAAATCCAAAAAATTATGAACAGAATGTTTGGTTATTAACTAAAAAGTTTTTCAATTTTGTTTTTGGGTGGGATGGATGGAGTTAAAGTTGGAGAGTGATAGCATTAATCATTTTTAAATGTCCTTTAATCCAGTCATAGAAATATGGCTACCCTAGACCTTCTTGACAAGTACTAAAAATTCAAATTTGGTGAAACTGCTTGAATATCGCTGTTCTAGGCTCTACGAGATTTAAATGTTTCTTTGTATTATCTAAATATAAACTTGTTTGAGGAAAATGTTGTACTCATTTAAGTATATTTGCTTATTTATTTAATTTATTATTTGTTTAATTTCAAAATATTTCATTTCTGGTGTATTATAAATAAAAGTATAAAAATAAGAAAAATATTTTAAATATTCCAGGGGTTTTACTTTTATTAGAAATAATTAATAATACAGGGTAACCCCCGTATAACACGGCACTTCTATAGCACGGATTCACTCTTAACACGGTTCGAGAATTGGTACCATCCTCCATATAACACGGTACTTTTATAGAACGGATTCGCTCTGACACGGTTCGAGAAATGGGTAAAACCCTCGTACAACATGAAATGTAATAAATTTTTACATACTTAAGTAATAATAGTTCACGAAAATTATTATTTTCGTGAACTATTAGTACTTAAGTATGTAAATTTTCTCTTCTTGCCTACCATCGATACACATGGTCCTTCTCGAAACTTGTTTTAGTGTTGCCAGATGGCGACGCTTCTGCTTCTGATGTTGCCGAATGTTTTTCCCTTATTCCATACTTGCTTTATTCTTCATAAGTGCTTAGCACCATATAAGGAAATTTATAAAGACCTTTTAACTAGAAGCAAGCAATCTAAAATTACATACATTTTGCAAAAGGTAAAGCATGGATCTGAAGATAATGCAGAAAAATGCTCAGAGGATAAGGATAACTTGCCAAAAAGAAAACGCTCTCGGTTAATTAATAGTGTTTTTAGTGATGACGAAGAAAACATTGTTTAATTTATATTAATATGTATCACTTAAAAAAATTTTAATGAAGATATTTATCTTAATTATGAAAATATACTAGCATGTTTTTTAATTTTTGGAACCTAACCCTCCTTTTCGTATTAGTGGTTTGTTTCGTATAACACGGATTCACATAACACGGCAATTTTTTGGAACGTAACTACCGTGTTATATGGGGGTTACCTGTATAAGAAATAATACTTATATTAGAAATAATTATTTCCAAAATATAAACTAAACTAAGAAAAAAGTAATATTATTGAGATATTAAACCGACAAGAAAACAATCGTAAATCTAAAATTTCAGTTTTTACTTGAAACTATAAAACATCTAAGTTTTGGAAGTGGATGAAGAATAAATAGATTAATATATGCAGTAAGCTATTTATTATTAATGCAAATTATTGATTGATATGATGTTTTGTGCCATAATCAAATTGCTCACTAAAGACGTTTCTTCTGTAGTAGTATAATTTTATCTATTAGAGGAAAATTACATGTTTTTCTACATAGATTATACAAATAGAATTGCAACTTCTCAAATTGTAGCTGACAAAAGAAATTATAAATATCAAATTTGTATTGAAATATACTAAAGCTTACAAATCTATTTTAAGAATAAGTATATACAATAGTTTGTTACAATATGTGTTGCTATAGCTACTGTATATGAACCATGTTTTACTTGTAAAGATCTTAAATGTTNATTCTAAAAAGAAAGATTTTCATTTGTCAATAATCACTCCACAAATACATCACAATTTGATAAACCACTTCCTGCTGGATATTTTTGGTTTTAATGTGTTAATTTTGAAATAACCACTCTCTAGATTCATGTTAGAAATCAAATATATCCTGGCTAAATGATGATTTATCTCATTAAACTGAATCAATTTCTTAATTATTCTATACTTCATAATAAAATCAGATTAAGATAAAAACTACTTCAAATTTACTGGAGAAAATCAAGGTCTTGGAACATCACCACAATATCCTGTTTTATCATATCCTTTATCACACCACTAACATTTGTCATTTTGCCAACAACAGATGTCAACATTTTTGGAACAGATCAAATTTTCACTTAGTGAATAGCATTTTATTCAAAATTTTGGAGAAATTTAGAAAAAATTCATAAAGTCATAAGATCCATTATTTGCTGCTATAAACTCTTTAGAGCTCTTTCCACATTATACAAACACTAATAGAAAGCTCATCTATCAGGCAAATAAGATAGGACTATTTACTAATTATAAATTTACAAAATTTACGAAAAATACATAAAAATAGCCAATACATAGACGTGACTAACTTTATCCCTTTGCATGCACATGAAGAAATTAACAGTTCTACGAAATCCATCTTTCATTCGAGGCTACTTGTTCACTTCAATATGTAAAATGTTAAAGACATCCCTCTGGCAATGGCACGATTAAAAAATAATAAATACATTTGATAAAAATTGCCAGGACAAATTGCACTTCTATGTATTGTCTATTTTTTAGAATTACTCTTAAATTTTGTAAACTTAAATTTATTTGTCCTGGCAATTTTTATCAAACATATTCATTTTAAATTATCAGTTCATAATCTTAACATTCTGTGAGTAAACATTTACACTGATTTTTTTTTTGTTGTTGTTGTTTTTGAACACTATATAGTTCATACATACAACACAAGGCAATCTTCATTGTAAATTTATTCAATTTTTAGTCAACTAAAAATTGAATAAATTTACAATGAAGATTGCCTTGTGTTGTATGTATGAACTATATAGTGTTCAAAAACAACAACAACAAAAAAAAAATCAGTGTAAATGTTTACTCACAGAATGTTAAGATTATGAACTGATAATTTAAAATGAATATGTTTGATAAAAATTGCCAGGACAAATAAATTTAAGTTTACAAAATTTAAGAGTAATTCTAAAAAATAGACAATACATAGAAGTGCAATTTGTCCTGGCAATTTTTATCAAATGTATTTATTATTTTTTAATCGTGCCATTGCCAGAGGGATGTCTTTAACATTTTACATATTGAAGTGAACAAGTAGCCTGGAATGAAAGATGGATTTCGTAGAACTGTTAATTTCTTCATGTGCATGCAAAGGGATAAAGTTAGTCACGTCTATGTATTGGCTATTTTTATGTATTTTTCGTAAATTTTGTAAATTTATAATTAGTAAATAGTCCTATCTTATTTGCCTGATAGATGAGCTTTCTATTAGTGTTTGTATAATGTGGAAAGAGCTCTAAAGAGTTTATAGCAGCAAATAATGGATCTTATGACTTTATGAATTTTTTCTAAATTTCTCCAAAATTTTGAATAAAATGCTATTCACTAAGTGAAAATTTGATCTGTTCCAAAAATGTTGACATCTGTTGTTGGCAAAATGACAAATGTTAGTGGTGTGATAAAGGATATGATAAAACAGGATATTGTGGTGATGTTCCAAGACCTTGATTTTCTCCAGTAAATTTGAAGTAGTTTTTATCTTAATCTGATTTTATTATGAAGTATAGAATAATTAAGAAATTGATTCAGTTTAATGAGATAAATCATCATTTAGCCAGGATATATTTGATTTCTAACATGAATCTAGAGAGTGGTTATTTCAAAATTAACACATTAAAACCAAAAATATCCAGCAGGAAGTGGTTTATCAAATTGTGATGTATTTGTGGAGTGATTATTGACAAATGAAAATCTTTCTTTTTAGAATATTTCTACTAAAATACTATTTTGTTTTGCACAAGATTTGAAGAAAATCCATTTAAATATTGATTCTGTTTCCAAAACCTTTGAGCAAGCATTTCAAATACTATTGCAATTTTATTTAAAAGTTTTGATTCCGTTGTAATGCATAGTTTTTTTGTTTTTTGTTTTATTCTGGAATACAGAGTAGTTACACCAATTATTTTGATGGATTTGATAAAACATTTTTCAAAAATTAGTTTTACAATTTTTCTAAGAGAATTTTTGATTAAGATAAATTTACAGTTGCACTTATGCTTTTACTTGTATGATATGATTATTATGATTAATGCTGTTATCATATTTTCACTGCATTATCACTAGAATGAAAATATATGTAAATTTTTAAGTAAGAATATAACACATAATAAAAAAATGTTTATGCTGATGATTCTAAAATGTTATAAAGTCTAAGCATGTTATTTAAAAACACATATCTAAAAGCAAAAATGAATTTAAGTCTATAGATAACATCATCTTCCTTTCATCCCTTTTTAAGTTGAATCTCCAAAGATTATTCTTTTCCATCATTTTCTATCTATGGCTGCAGTGCCAAGTTCTATTAAGACAATCCAGTATTTGTTTTAATTTCATCTTTGATTCAATATTTGGCTGTTTGGAAAAATGAGAAGAATAGTTTCTTACTTATTTGAAATAATCATTCCAAAAGCATTTTAAAACAAAATTTTGGATGATAAAACATTTTTTTTATAAATATGTATCATTAAACATCAAGATAATGCATATTTTATATAAATATTTGTTGAATAATGTTTCTTATGCAAACTTAGAAAAACATAGTAGTTTTAAGAATGCACCAGAACATAGTCATTTTTGTTTTTGTTTTGGATGATCTAGTAAACCAATATTAAGAGAGAGCCCTACATTCACTCCTCTATCACTGTTCATGAAGAATGAACTCAGGTATTGCATATATACTTCTAAGTACATTTGTAACATTCAAATATTTTTCCTGTATTAATACTTAATTTTTCTTAATTTATTTACTTACAAAGGGGAGGTTGGGCTTCCTGTGCCTCTCCCTGATTATGCTACTGAATGAGATAATGAAATCAAACATTTCTATAAAATTTAATGATTTCAATGCAACCACCTTTACTGGTATCTATCCAGAAGAGTTAACAGGATGGTCAAGGGTAGGATTTCTGGATTTGAACTCGATATGGTGGATCACATGATTTTTCAATTAGGTCATGTATTTTTAAATTTTTTTTTAGCTCTCTGCCATTTGAGCCTCTTTTCATGCCTGCATGGAATCAGTGAGTGTAGCATGGATGCAGTCAAGTGGTGAGAGAAGGTAATAGATACTAAAAAGCAATAAAAGAATCTAACATGGTCACTCAATAGCATTTGTGTTACAGTCTTTGTTTCATTTATTAAGAACTATATTTAGAATAGCTAATTTATCTGTACTTAAATGACTTATGATGGCAATTTTAAAGATTACTTATTAAATATTCATTCTAAAATGATATGATTGTGATTTCTTAAAATATGAGCAAGGAAAAATAGCATCAATATATGTTTGATTCAGATTTATAAAAGTTTAAATTAATGTCAATTCAATTCTGTAATCTTGTATTTTAACTGAAAATAATTGATAATTTGTTTAGATTAATTAAAGTGTTCTTGAACATTGGCATTTATATAAATTTTAAGTTTTGACAGAACATGCATGGATGGGGTATGTGTCTATATATATAATATATATTTATAGTCTGTTATTTCTAAATTTGCTGAGAAACTTTTTGCAGTTTTATCTGTTGATGCTTCCTGTATTGATTTTAAAATAAAATATATAAAAAACTGTTATTAATTAACTGTAAATCAAGTAATTACCCAACACAGTAATGTAAAAGTACTGATTGTTGTTGTTTATATCATATAATTTAACTTATAAAACAGTTACAACTCTCAGTAGAATAATAATGAACTTGTCTAGGTGATAAGCAGCTTAATTAGCACAGTGTCTGCTTGCTGATTTTACTATTGATAGCAACTACTTACTAATGAAAACATTTCATGCTTAATATTAGCAAAAAAAAATGTGTTTCTTGTATAATCCTATTTCATTAACAGATATGATCAGGAAATAATAGGAAATATATTCTATTATATTTACTTTTTAAAATTGAATAAAATCCATTTTCTATTTAGTTATAACTTTCTATTTCTAATGTAAGCTTTAAAAAATTGACATTATATTACATGAAAATAAAAATTTATAAAATAATTTTGGAAAATTTTTATCTGAACTGCAAAATCAATAATTTAACTAAACAGTCCAGTTATTCAAAAATCCTTATACTTTATATAAGATAGATATCTACTATAGTAAAAATATGTCAATTAGCCATTCCATTCATTAATATTTGTTTAATTTATAAACGAAAATAATGCATCTTGTTAACTTACTGATAGCAATTAGATAGTGATTGTAGTAGAATACTTATTCTTAATGTGGAATTACAGAATGACTGGCCATTTTGTAATTTTGTAGGTACATTACAGAACAAGCACTGTTATTAAGAACGAGTAACAAGCATTCTACTGTTGTGAACAAAGAACAAGTGCTTTACGATCAGTGATAAATACGAATTTAATGTAACAAGCCAAGCTTGACTTATTTTTTAAGTTCTGTGGGAGATAAACAAAAAAAATATTTTTATTTGTATTTTGTTACATCATAAATTTATATATCAATAAATATAAATTCTTTCGAAAATCCTTTTTTGTATCCCCCAGCAGAACTTGATGAAAAGGTCTTTCAAGCTTGGCCTGTTCCATTTTTATTTTTCTAATGGAATGATTGGAAATGAAAAATTCATGAAATAAAATTTATCATTTTTAGAATGAATAAAACAAATTTTTATGCAAGAATGGTGTGTGAGGAAAGTGATACCGAAAAAAGCAATTTAATCCAGAAAATTGATATTGTCTTTTTGTTATTAAAGGATAATTTGAATTGAAACAGGTCAGCATCATCTCTTCCAATATATCTGCAGGAAAACTTTTAAAAGTAATCAGAGAAAAAAAGACAGAAAAATATCATGAACTTTATTTGAAACAATATAGTAATCAATAATTTATCAAAATGGTTATATGGACTGATTGCTGTGATTTTAATTTCATATAAATAATATACTATGATTTTACTAAATTACATTTTTATTCTTGTATCTCATGATCCAATAAAATTGCCAACTAAACTGTTTATATATACTTTTAAAGTATTTAAAGAAAGAAACTGATTTGTAAAGTTTGCAATTTAATCTCTGACAATTAGTGATAACAATGATTTATATATTGATAAGAATTCAGTTTTATTAAATAAGCATATATTTTCAGTGTTTACAAGTTTTATTAAATTAATTAAGAGTATGTAGAAATATAATAATAATAATGTTTTAATAGAGTTTATAAAACAAATATCTATAAGACAAGTGTAAAATTTTATGAAAATATTTTATTGGTTCTAATAAGATTAAAAGTATAATATAAATATACACTATTACTCTTGAAAATATTAGTGTAGAATCTTTTTCTGTTATTAATGTACATACTATAATCTTAATTAGATAATGTCTTGCATTATTAAATTAGATAATATAAGTTATCAAATTGAATTATATCATCTCATAATTTATGAATAAACAAAAGTAGGTGGATTAATAATTTTAAAAATGTTAAAATATGTAATAATTTCCTCCCCTTATTGTGTTAAAAGTTGTTTTTTTTTTTTTTACAAAATTGTTGGAATGTGTTATTTTTATACAAATTATAAAATTAAACCTATATTTTAATTCAGTGTGTAATGCTATTTAAAATTGTAATTAAAAATTGCTTGATAAATGGAAAATTTTTTTACTTGCATATTAAATTCATTTTACTATTTGTTTCAGTCGTCAGATGAAATTTCATGCAAAAGAGCCATGCCAAATTTATTGAATGGAGAGATGGTCATAGCGCAAGCAGAAAATGTCCTCAAATTTAATATAATGAGTGAGTTAAAAACGGGTATTTCTGGAGAATTAATCTGTACTACATTTAAGTTAAGTTTTGTTACTCCAGAAGATATTCCTTTGAATCAGGTAAAATTAATTTATTTTTAAAAATGAAGCTAGTTTATATTGTTGTTGTTGTTTTTTATTATTTTAAATGTATAATTTGAAACTAACTTATTATAAATTACTGAAGTTTTAATTATTTCATATGTTTTATATTTATTTATTTATTTAATTAATGTATTTTTGATATTTACTTTTAATATTGAAATAAAATTTCTTAGTAAATAACATTGTTTCTTATAAAAGTATGAATTAACATTAGTTCTACACAATATAATTTTGTAGATTTAATAATTTCAAATGTCAGAGAGTCTAATTTATCTGTTTCGATGTACTTGTACACATCCTGTTACTTTTATGAGTTGATAACAATAGGATGTTAAATTAGTTAAATGGACCAGTGATAATGGAATTTTTCATTAATTTTTTTCCTGCTAAACTGTTATTTATTTATTTTTTGTAATNTTGCAATTTAATCTCTGACAATTAGTGATAACAATGATTTATATATTGATAAGAATTCAGTTTTATTAAATAAGCATATATTTTCAGTGTTTACAAGTTTTATTAAATTAATTAAGAGTATGTAGAAATATAATAATAATAATGTTTTAATAGAGTTTATAAAACAAATATCTATAAGACAAGTGTAAAATTTTATGAAAATATTTTATTGGTTCTAATAAGATTAAAAGTATAATATAAATATACACTATTACTCTTGAAAATATTAGTGTAGAATCTTTTTCTGTTATTAATGTACATACTATAATCTTAATTAGATAATGTCTTGCATTATTAAATTAGATAATATAAGTTATCAAATTGAATTATATCATCTCATAATTTATGAATAAACAAAAGTAGGTGGATTAATAATTTTAAAAATGTTAAAATATGTAATAATTTCCTCCCCTTATTGTGTTAAAAGTTGTTTTTTTTTTTTTACAAAATTGTTGGAATGTGTTATTTTTATACAAATTATAAAATTAAACCTATATTTTAATTCAGTGTGTAATGCTATTTAAAATTGTAATTAAAAATTGCTTGATAAATGGAAAATTTTTTTACTTGCATATTAAATTCATTTTACTATTTGTTTCAGTCGTCAGATGAAATTTCATGCAAAAGAGCCATGCCAAATTTATTGAATGGAGAGATGGTCATAGCGCAAGCAGAAAATGTCCTCAAATTTAATATAATGAGTGAGTTAAAAACGGGTATTTCTGGAGAATTAATCTGTACTACATTTAAGTTAAGTTTTGTTACTCCAGAAGATATTCCTTTGAATCAGGTAAAATTAATTTATTTTTAAAAATGAAGCTAGTTTATATTGTTGTTGTTGTTTTTTATTATTTTAAATGTATAATTTGAAACTAACTTATTATAAATTACTGAAGTTTTAATTATTTCATATGTTTTATATTTATTTATTTATTTAATTAATGTATTTTTGATATTTACTTTTAATATTGAAATAAAATTTCTTAGTAAATAACATTGTTTCTTATAAAAGTATGAATTAACATTAGTTCTACACAATATAATTTTGTAGATTTAATAATTTCAAATGTCAGAGAGTCTAATTTATCTGTTTCGATGTACTTGTACACATCCTGTTACTTTTATGAGTTGATAACAATAGGATGTTAAATTAGTTAAATGGACCAGTGATAATGGAATTTTTCATTAATTTTTTTCCTGCTAAACTGTTATTTATTTATTTTTTGTAATTAGTACAATTAATTAAAATACATAAAAAATTTTAAAATTTAAATTATTAATAGAATAGTTATTCTTGTCAATATAATTATTTATTTTCTTCTCTTACAAAAGTAAAAATAAATTTATAACTATTTTTAATAAACAAATTTCATTAATTTTATTTTAGTTCTTGTAATTATGTTACTGTTTAATTAAGATAAATATCTACAGATACAAATTAATTTTAAATTGTAATAAAGTATTCTATTTAATGTTCTGTTTAATATCTATGAATACTTTTAATTAAATAATATAATTTACTAAGCTTGTTATATGAAATGATTTTGTTAAAGAAGTTACATAATTCTCTATTATACGTAAAAAAATATGTCTATATTTTCTTTCTTTTGCATTTGCAATTTTTAACTATAGCAATCATCAAATGAGTGAAAAGTCCTGAATAAAAATTATTAATAGCAAAAAAGATTTTAATTAATATAAATACAGTAAGACCCCTCTTAACACTGCTTTGCTTAATGCTGATTCGATATATCGCCATCTGCTCGAAGCCTAAAAAACACTCAGAATTTATGCTGATTCAAAATAATGCAGCATTTCATTGATTCATATATAATACTATTATTCCCAAACACGAACCAATCGGCAAAAGGTGGCAATTCGTTGTAGCATTGTACTTTCCTTAAATCTATGTTTGTTTGATGCAAGTTTGGAAAAAATATAACATCATGGATGCCATAGGAAATATTGACTCCGCTTGGCAAGAATTAACTGATAAATGCATGAACGGAGTGTGGAAGAAGTTATTGCCAAAGGTATTCAAGAATTCTCAACGAGAAGAGCCTATTGCTGTATCATTAGGTTGATCAAATTCAACCTAATCGATACAACAGGATATTGAGAGTTACTGCAGGTTTCCAGTGAGAGTCTTACCAATGACAACCTTCAAGAACTGGCAGAACAAGGAATTCATGTAGAACTGAAAAATAGAGATTCTGAAAACAAAGAACCCAAAGTTGGGTTCTTTGTTTTCAGAATTTGCTACAGATTTCCTTAGTAAAAGTTTGGTAATGACAACCAAAATTGTTGATCAAATTGTAGTGAATGACCCAGATTTTGAAAGGAGTCCAAAAGCAAAATGAGGTGTTCTGGATGTGATCTCTTGCTACAGACATTTGCTTCAGGAAAGAAAAAAGGCAACAGATGAAACTACACCACTTTATTGCAAAGAACAAGAATTTTAGAGAAGTCAGGACCTTCTTCACAAAAATGAACTTTACATTTCTGTGTGCCTATGTTTGTGTGTTATTTAATATATATTATTATGCAAATTAATATAAAAAATAACTTAAAATTAAAGTAAAATCTGTTTATTATTTGGTTGCGTGTTCCCCTTTTCTTATTTACTCTGTGTTAAAATGATCTCNTTAAACTGCACGTGTGCAAGAGGGTGCTTTTGTTGTTTGGTATGACTTTCATTGACCTCTAGCAACAATCCTTATGTCATAGTCTGTTTTTGTTTGAAAATATATGCTTGTTTTGCATGTAAAGAATTTTTATGCTGGCAATTTTTCAAAATGTTGAGTGTAATTAAGCAAAGAACATACATTAAATTTTGTTTATGCATTGGAATTACTACTACAAAAATGTTGGAAATGTTGCAAAAAGCCTTTGGTGACAATAGTCTATCAAAAATAAGAGTTTTTAAGTGGTACAATATGTTCGAGGAAGGCGGATAATGCATCGAAGAAGAACATGCTCTGGTAGACCATCCACTTCAAATGATAAACAACACATTGCTCGAGTCAGAGATTTGGTGCTCAATTATCGTCATTTAACAATTAGAGATATTATTGAATATGCTCCAGTATTGTTTGGATTTTGTCAAGCAATTGTAAAAGATCATCTGGGTTTGTGGCACATCACTTCTTGAATCATCTTGAAAATGTTTAATTTTTTCCAAAAATGTGTTCAAATGGCCAAGGATGTGCTTTCTCAAGGCAAATCTTTTTTAAAATACATCATCATGTGATGAAACATGAATCTACACTTTTGACATCAAAACAGCTCAACAATCAAGTGAATGGTGATTGAAAGGTGAAGTGAGACCAAAAAGACCACATCAAAGTCAGTCAAAAATAAAGGTCATGTTGACTGTTTGCTTAGATTGTCATGGTATCGTGCATCACAAATTTCTTATGACTGGCCAAACTGTGAACAAAGAATATAATTTGAGCATTTTGTGTCATTTGTATGAAGCAATTCATAGAAAAAGACCCAATTTGTGGTGAGAAAACTCCTTTATTTTGCACCTGCCTACAGACCTTTTGTTGTTTTGTTGAATTTTTGGCCAAAAATTCACAATACGGTTCTCCAAGCTCTGCATTCACCTGATATGACACCTTTTAATTTTTCTGTTTCCTCGACTAGAATTTCTGCTTGGTGGTCACTATTTTGAGTCGATTGATGCCATAAAACAAAATTTGCTGCGACACCTGAAGGGGTTTTATGAAAACTATTTTAACGCATATTTTGAAGATTGGAAAAAACATTGGCATAAATGCTTTGCAGTGGGGGAGGATTATTTTGAAGGGACAAAATAAATTTTAATGAGTAAATTAACATCTTGCATTTTATTGAACCATTTCCAATACATTTTGATCACAAGTGTGTTTAAAAATATAAACATTTAAATACATTTTAAAAGATGCCAAACTTTTCATCATTTATTCTGAATTATAATTAATTTACATATCTAAAATAATATCATATCTATGTTAATTTTTTTTTCAAGTCTCAAAATGATTACAATAATCTGAACCTACTGTAATTAGTGCACAGGATTGATGCAGCATTATAAATTACATCATGGCAAATTAAACTTATTTCTAAATGAGTATAACATATAGATTAATTATCAAAAAGTTGAAAAAATTTTTTAAAAATACTGTAGTACCAATTTTTGAGTGTGCTCAAAACAAAGAACATAGAGAAAACTGTAGCAGAAAATTTAGAGTTTGAGATGCTCCCAAACCTGTGATTCTGTTGGATTTTTTTCTTGTATCAGAATGGCCTACAACTCTAGCAAGATATTAATGATAGCAGTAGAGAGAAAATTTTACCATAACAGATAGTAAAATTGTATGAATTTTAAATGGTGTGTACTATATAGAGTGCTTTATGACAGTATGAAAATAAATAATGACTATTTTAATGTCAGAAAATTCAGCTTTAAATAGATTTTGATTACTTTAAATGTTTTTGAATATAGATAATAATTATCAGTGTAAATTACTTTCTTGAAACCGTGTCGGTGATTAATTTTGTCATTTTTGAACACTATATAGTTCATACATACAACACAAGGCAATCTTCATTGTAAATTTATTCAATTTTTAGTCAACTAAAAATTGAATAAATTTACAATGAAGATTGCCTTGTGTTGTATGTATGAACTATATAGTGTTCAAAAACAACAACAACAAAAAAAAAATCAGTGTAAATGTTTACTCACAGAATGTTAAGATTATGAACTGATAATTTAAAATGAATATGTTTGATAAAAATTGCCAGGACAAATAAATTTAAGTTTACAAAATTTAAGAGTAATTCTAAAAAATAGACAATACATAGAAGTGCAATTTGTCCTGGCAATTTTTATCAAATGTATTTATTATTTTTTAATCGTGCCATTGCCAGAGGGATGTCTTTAACATTTTACATATTGAAGTGAACAAGTAGCCTCGAATGAAAGATGGATTTCGTAGAACTGTTAATTTCTTCATGTGCATGCAAAGGGATAAAGTTAGTCACGTCTATGTATTGGCTATTTTTATGTATTTTTCGTAAATTTTGTAAATTTATAATTAGTAAATAGTCCTATCTTATTTGCCTGATAGATGAGCTTTCTATTAGTGTTTGTATAATGTGGAAAGAGCTCTAAAGAGTTTATAGCAGCAAATAATGGATCTTATGACTTTATGAATTTTTTCTAAATTTCTCCAAAATTTTGAATAAAATGCTATTCACTAAGTGAAAATTTGATCTGTTCCAAAAATGTTGACATCTGTTGTTGGCAAAATGACAAATGTTAGTGGTGTGATAAAGGATATGATAAAACAGGATATTGTGGTGATGTTCCAAGACCTTGATTTTCTCCAGTAAATTTGAAGTAGTTTTTATCTTAATCTGATTTTATTATGAAGTATAGAATAATTAAGAAATTGATTCAGTTTAATGAGATAAATCATCATTTAGCCAGGATATATTTGATTTCTAACATGAATCTAGAGAGTGGTTATTTCAAAATTAACACATTAAAACCAAAAATATCCAGCAGGAAGTGGTTTATCAAATTGTGATGTATTTGTGGAGTGATTATTGACAAATGAAAATCTTTCTTTTTAGAATATTTCTACTAAAATACTATTTTGTTTTGCACAAGATTTGAAGAAAATCCATTTAAATATTGATTCTGTTTCCAAAACCTTTGAGCAAGCATTTCAAATACTATTGCAATTTTATTTAAAAGTTTTGATTCCGTTGTAATGCATAGTTTTTTTGTTTTTTGTTTTATTCTGGAATACAGAGTAGTTACACCAATTATTTTGATGGATTTGATAAAACATTTTTCAAAAATTAGTTTTACAATTTTTCTAAGAGAATTTTTGATTAAGATAAATTTACAGTTGCACTTATGCTTTTACTTGTATGATATGATTATTATGATTAATGCTGTTATCATATTTTCACTGCATTATCACTAGAATGAAAATATATGTAAATTTTTAAGTAAGAATATAACACATAATAAAAAAATGTTTATGCTGATGATTCTAAAATGTTATAAAGTCTAAGCATGTTATTTAAAAACACATATCTAAAAGCAAAAATGAATTTAAGTCTATAGATAACATCATCTTCCTTTCATCCCTTTTTAAGTTGAATCTCCAAAGATTATTCTTTTCCATCATTTTCTATCTATGGCTGCAGTGCCAAGTTCTATTAAGACAATCCAGTATTTGTTTTAATTTCATCTTTGATTCAATATTTGGCTGTTTGGAAAAATGAGAAGAATAGTTTCTTACTTATTTGAAATAATCATTCCAAAAGCATTTTAAAACAAAATTTTGGATGATAAAACATTTTTTTTATAAATATGTATCATTAAACATCAAGATAATGCATATTTTATATAAATATTTGTTGAATAATGTTTCTTATGCAAACTTAGAAAAACATAGTAGTTTTAAGAATGCACCAGAACATAGTCATTTTTGTTTTTGTTTTGGATGATCTAGTAAACCAATATTAAGAGAGAGCCCTACATTCACTCCTCTATCACTGTTCATGAAGAATGAACTCAGGTATTGCATATATACTTCTAAGTACATTTGTAACATTCAAATATTTTTCCTGTATTAATACTTAATTTTTCTTAATTTATTTACTTACAAAGGGGAGGTTGGGCTTCCTGTGCCTCTCCCTGATTATGCTACTGAATGAGATAATGAAATCAAACATTTCTATAAAATTTAATGATTTCAATGCAACCACCTTTACTGGTATCTATCCAGAAGAGTTAACAGGATGGTCAAGGGTAGGATTTCTGGATTTGAACTCGATATGGTGGATCACATGATTTTTCAATTAGGTCATGTATTTTTAAATTTTTTTTTAGCTCTCTGCCATTTGAGCCTCTTTTCATGCCTGCATGGAATCAGTGAGTGTAGCATGGATGCAGTCAAGTGGTGAGAGAAGGTAATAGATACTAAAAAGCAATAAAAGAATCTAACATGGTCACTCAATAGCATTTGTGTTACAGTCTTTGTTTCATTTATTAAGAACTATATTTAGAATAGCTAATTTATCTGTACTTAAATGACTTATGATGGCAATTTTAAAGATTACTTATTAAATATTCATTCTAAAATGATATGATTGTGATTTCTTAAAATATGAGCAAGGAAAAATAGCATCAATATATGTTTGATTCAGATTTATAAAAGTTTAAATTAATGTCAATTCAATTCTGTAATCTTGTATTTTAACTGAAAATAATTGATAATTTGTTTAGATTAATTAAAGTGTTCTTGAACATTGGCATTTATATAAATTTTAAGTTTTGACAGAACATGCATGGATGGGGTATGTGTCTATATATATAATATATATTTATAGTCTGTTATTTCTAAATTTGCTGAGAAACTTTTTGCAGTTTTATCTGTTGATGCTTCCTGTATTGATTTTAAAATAAAATATATAAAAAACTGTTATTAATTAACTGTAAATCAAGTAATTACCCAACACAGTAATGTAAAAGTACTGATTGTTGTTGTTTATATCATATAATTTAACTTATAAAACAGTTACAACTCTCAGTAGAATAATAATGAACTTGTCTAGGTGATAAGCAGCTTAATTAGCACAGTGTCTGCTTGCTGATTTTACTATTGATAGCAACTACTTACTAATGAAAACATTTCATGCTTAATATTAGCAAAAAAAAATGTGTTTCTTGTATAATCCTATTTCATTAACAGATATGATCAGGAAATAATAGGAAATATATTCTATTATATTTACTTTTTAAAATTGAATAAAATCCATTTTCTATTTAGTTATAACTTTCTATTTCTAATGTAAGCTTTAAAAAATTGACATTATATTACATGAAAATAAAAATTTATAAAATAATTTTGGAAAATTTTTATCTGAACTGCAAAATCAATAATTTAACTAAACAGTCCAGTTATTCAAAAATCCTTATACTTTATATAAGATAGATATCTACTATAGTAAAAATATGTCAATTAGCCATTCCATTCATTAATATTTGTTTAATTTATAAACGAAAATAATGCATCTTGTTAACTTACTGATAGCAATTAGATAGTGATTGTAGTAGAATACTTATTCTTAATGTGGAATTACAGAATGACTGGCCATTTTGTAATTTTGTAGGTACATTACAGAACAAGCACTGTTATTAAGAACGAGTAACAAGCATTCTACTGTTGTGAACAAAGAACAAGTGCTTTACGATCAGTGATAAATACGAATTTAATGTAACAAGCCAAGCTTGACTTATTTTTTAAGTTCTGTGGGAGATAAACAAAAAAAATATTTTTATTTGTATTTTGTTACATCATAAATTTATATATCAATAAATATAAATTCTTTCGAAAATCCTTTTTTGTATCCCCCAGCAGAACTTGATGAAAAGGTCTTTCAAGCTTGGCCTGTTCCATTTTTATTTTTCTAATGGAATGATTGGAAATGAAAAATTCATGAAATAAAATTTATCATTTTTAGAATGAATAAAACAAATTTTTATGCAAGAATGGTGTGTGAGGAAAGTGATACCGAAAAAAGCAATTTAATCCAGAAAATTGATATTGTCTTTTTGTTATTAAAGGATAATTTGAATTGAAACAGGTCAGCATCATCTCTTCCAATATATCTGCAGGAAAACTTTTAAAAGTAATCAGAGAAAAAAAGACAGAAAAATATCATGAACTTTATTTGAAACAATATAGTAATCAATAATTTATCAAAATGGTTATATGGACTGATTGCTGTGATTTTAATTTCATATAAATAATATACTATGATTTTACTAAATTACATTTTTATTCTTGTATCTCATGATCCAATAAAATTGCCAACTAAACTGTTTATATATACTTTTAAAGTATTTAAAGAAAGAAACTGATTTGTAAAGTTTGCAATTTAATCTCTGACAATTAGTGATAACAATGATTTATATATTGATAAGAATTCAGTTTTATTAAATAAGCATATATTTTCAGTGTTTACAAGTTTTATTAAATTAATTAAGAGTATGTAGAAATATAATAATAATAATGTTTTAATAGAGTTTATAAAACAAATATCTATAAGACAAGTGTAAAATTTTATGAAAATATTTTATTGGTTCTAATAAGATTAAAAGTATAATATAAATATACACTATTACTCTTGAAAATATTAGTGTAGAATCTTTTTCTGTTATTAATGTACATACTATAATCTTAATTAGATAATGTCTTGCATTATTAAATTAGATAATATAAGTTATCAAATTGAATTATATCATCTCATAATTTATGAATAAACAAAAGTAGGTGGATTAATAATTTTAAAAATGTTAAAATATGTAATAATTTCCTCCCCTTATTGTGTTAAAAGTTGTTTTTTTTTTTTTACAAAATTGTTGGAATGTGTTATTTTTATACAAATTATAAAATTAAACCTATATTTTAATTCAGTGTGTAATGCTATTTAAAATTGTAATTAAAAATTGCTTGATAAATGGAAAATTTTTTTACTTGCATATTAAATTCATTTTACTATTTGTTTCAGTCGTCAGATGAAATTTCATGCAAAAGAGCCATGCCAAATTTATTGAATGGAGAGATGGTCATAGCGCAAGCAGAAAATGTCCTCAAATTTAATATAATGAGTGAGTTAAAAACGGGTATTTCTGGAGAATTAATCTGTACTACATTTAAGTTAAGTTTTGTTACTCCAGAAGATATTCCTTTGAATCAGGTAAAATTAATTTATTTTTAAAAATGAAGCTAGTTTATATTGTTGTTGTTGTTTTTTATTATTTTAAATGTATAATTTGAAACTAACTTATTATAAATTACTGAAGTTTTAATTATTTCATATGTTTTATATTTATTTATTTATTTAATTAATGTATTTTTGATATTTACTTTTAATATTGAAATAAAATTTCTTAGTAAATAACATTGTTTCTTATAAAAGTATGAATTAACATTAGTTCTACACAATATAATTTTGTAGATTTAATAATTTCAAATGTCAGAGAGTCTAATTTATCTGTTTCGATGTACTTGTACACATCCTGTTACTTTTATGAGTTGATAACAATAGGATGTTAAATTAGTTAAATGGACCAGTGATAATGGAATTTTTCATTAATTTTTTTCCTGCTAAACTGTTATTTATTTATTTTTTGTAATTAGTACAATTAATTAAAATACATAAAAAATTTTAAAATTTAAATTATTAATAGAATAGTTATTCTTGTCAATATAATTATTTATTTTCTTCTCTTACAAAAGTAAAAATAAATTTATAACTATTTTTAATAAACAAATTTCATTAATTTTATTTTAGTTCTTGTAATTATGTTACTGTTTAATTAAGATAAATATCTACAGATACAAATTAATTTTAAATTGTAATAAAGTATTCTATTTAATGTTCTGTTTAATATCTATGAATACTTTTAATTAAATAATATAATTTACTAAGCTTGTTATATGAAATGATTTTGTTAAAGAAGTTACATAATTCTCTATTATACGTAAAAAAATATGTCTATATTTTCTTTCTTTTGCATTTGCAATTTTTAACTATAGCAATCATCAAATGAGTGAAAAGTCCTGAATAAAAATTATTAATAGCAAAAAAGATTTTAATTAATATAAATACAGTAAGACCCCTCTTAACACTGCTTTGCTTAATGCTGATTCGATATATCGCCATCTGCTCGAAGCCTAAAAAACACTCAGAATTTATGCTGATTCAAAATAATGCAGCATTTCATTGATTCATATATAATACTATTATTCCCAAACACGAACCAATCGGCAAAAGGTGGCAATTCGTTGTAGCATTGTACTTTCCTTAAATCTATGTTTGTTTGATGCAAGTTTGGAAAAAATATAACATCATGGATGCCATAGGAAATATTGACTCCGCTTGGCAAGAATTAACTGATAAATGCATGAACGGAGTGTGGAAGAAGTTATTGCCAAAGGTATTCAAGAATTCTCAACGAGAAGAGCCTATTGCTGTATCATTAGGTTGATCAAATTCAACCTAATCGATACAACAGGATATTGAGAGTTACTGCAGGTTTCCAGTGAGAGTCTTACCAATGACAACCTTCAAGAACTGGCAGAACAAGGAATTCATGTAGAACTGAAAAATAGAGATTCTGAAAACAAAGAACCCAAAGTTGGGTTCTTTGTTTTCAGAATTTGCTACAGATTTCCTTAGTAAAAGTTTGGTAATGACAACCAAAATTGTTGATCAAATTGTAGTGAATGACCCAGATTTTGAAAGGAGTCCAAAAGCAAAATGAGGTGTTCTGGATGTGATCTCTTGCTACAGACATTTGCTTCAGGAAAGAAAAAAGGCAACAGATGAAACTACACCACTTTATTGCAAAGAACAAGAATTTTAGAGAAGTCAGGACCTTCTTCACAAAAATGAACTTTACATTTCTGTGTGCCTATGTTTGTGTGTTATTTAATATATATTATTATGCAAATTAATATAAAAAATAACTTAAAATTAAAGTAAAATCTGTTTATTATTTGGTTGCGTGTTCCCCTTTTCTTATTTACTCTGTGTTAAAATGATCTCATTTAACGCTGTTTCGTTTAGCACTTTGTCATCTAGGAACACGTCCCCTGCATTAAGTGGGGTCTTACTGTATTATATTTATTGACCTATTGATGCATCATTTCATTTTGTTCATGCTAATAATTGAAATTATTAGCATGAATGACAACAATGTATAGAAACTTATAAATATTATCAATGAATAATAAGAATACTGTTGGGATTATTTTTTGTTTACATTATTTACTTTTATGAAGTGTTTGTTTTTATTTCTTTGATTTTATATTATATGTTTGTAGAAAATTATCATTAAGGAACCTCTGTAAATCAAACTTTGATTTCCCATAGGTTTAATATCATAAATAAAGGTTCTGTTTAAGTAATATAGTGTTTGATTGAGATGGCCAACAAAAAATATGAAACTTCATTTCATTACAGAAATTATAATAAAAAACTTTTACCAGCTATTTGTATAAAAATGAAGTGTTGTAAAGTTGGGGTGAATTGTGTATATGTTTAGTGTTCTCAGAAAAAATTTTAGGTGGTTGATCTGCAATGGTAGCTAATTTCAATGCAAATTTACCTATAAACCTCTGTTCATGATGATAAACCAATACTGATGTATAACATTTAATAGCATATCAGTTCTTAGTCTATAGTCTGATTATCTTCATAAAATAAATATTTTAAAAATATTAGTTTTAACTGGGCAGGGAAAATATTTAGCTGGTCAGATGATTAGTTAAAATCAGCTTGAATGGAATACTGTATAGTATTGTTTCTATTAGAAGCCCATCCCTATCTTTTTTCTTGGATTAAAAATGTCCTAATAGAGAGACTTTCCTCCAGTATGGTAATGTACAGTATGTTTGTTGTTGAGAAATTAGTATTTTAATATATAGAAACAACACTTTCTAATATCAATAATCATCTTTTTTCTAAACAGTTAGTTTTTTTCCACTAGGTTAAATGTATTTCAGAACTATTTATAACTCACAGTAATATGTTTTCCATTAAAAGAGAGAAACAGGTTCAGAATTAAGTGGTTGTATACCAATTTGAATTTACTACTATAAATGTATATGGGATTGAAAGTACCAGTAATAGAAAGTTTTTAAAAATCTATATTTTGTACTTCATTTGTGATAAAACTGCATATGATATATGGTAAATAATGGTCCTAATAGAGCTCCATATTTCAGGAAATGTTTTAATTCTGTGGGCTTCTAATAGGGGCAATAAGGACTATATATATAACATTATAATTTTTTTAAACCAATGCCTTAATTAATGAGATTGTATCTAAATACAGAACTGTTAAATGTTGATAAATTATTTAAATTGTTAGAAAACAATGAATACTTTTTGTTTGAAGTTGTTTGATCTGACTTTTAGAAGAAATTGTTTCAGTATGTTTATTACAATAGTAATTCTCAACCGAATGAAATAAAAAAGGCTACTATGGGATTATTATAAAAACAACAACGTAAAGCAAATTAGTATGAGTAATAAAACATTTAAAGATATAAGACTTACTTTTGCCTCATCACTAGGCTGGAAAGAAAATATGATCTAAAAATTCTGCAGGAAGTTTACTTTACCACAAGTTTAGGCAGAAGAGATAAAATATAGGGGAAGGGAGGGCAGGATGGAAGGTTTAACTTTTGATGTAAAAAACATAAAACAACATAATGTAAAGCTTTTATTTTAATCAGTCTCGACAGAGATCTTAGATGGTTAAAAAATAAGATGTAATTAAAAATAATTAATATTAAGTATAAAATCTGTTAGGAATCATGAAGTAAAAATGTCAAAAATTCCATCTTGCCCTCACCCTGAAGGCAAGATTGAATACGTAGGATATCCCTACATTTTACAATTGACACATAAAAAACATCCATCTTTTGTGTCTGTACATAGTTCATGTGCCCAACCACAACACACTGGACATTGTACTCAGTCCTTTGTGGGCGGTTCCACATATGGTTCTCCACATAATACACAAAACCTTCATCCATTGTCATCTGCAGTTTCTTCAGTCCAAGAACTTCTATTGCTCTTTCTTATATACTTGTTCACCATCTAAAAACGATTACATCCTCAATTAGTTAGATAAATTGAAAACAAAAATCAAAATAATTGTGCGCAGGCAACATGGAAACTATTCCATCTTGCCTAAATGCCCATTGCCAATAATAATATCAACGCTTTAAAAATCCTTGAATTTTTTTCTCTTTAAATATCAATTCATTCAATCTATCTCTAATAGGTACTTTATATAAAAACAAAATAGTAATACTTACCTTGTAGGTATAAATAATAACACTGCAAAAGTCCAATGATTGTGTAATAATCTGCTGTGAAATAAGAAATACTTGAAAACGTTATTTGGTGGCACCAACTGGTCTGAGTTGTCATTCGTAAATAACAAGATATCCGGGTGTCTCTGTGTGCACGGAGATTCGGGTGCTTTGTCGTGTGGTTCAGGTGGGTAAGTAGTTTCCATCTTGCCCTCCCTTCCCCTAACTTCTGTAGCTATAAGTTACTGCAGTTATTGACAATCTAAGTTTAATGTTTGGTAGCAATAATATATTTTAAATGCATATTTAATATTCTTGTAGAAATTTTAGCAGGTTACTTAGATGTTGTGTTTTTTAAATAAAAAATTAATCGTGTGCTTTAACTAAAAATTTTTAAAAAATGACAAATTTTCTAATATTTAAAAATGTTGTACTGGAAAAGGGATAGGACAAAGTTCAGACATAAAGACCTTAGTTTACAGGATACAAACATTAGACAGAAAAGTAATAGAGCAAACTAAAATAACTAAAATTAACAGAACAAATCAATAGTAATAATAAACTGAGCTAGCTGTTTCCATTTCTTGTTCTTGGTGTCAAACACAAGACATTGTTTCAGTATATTTATTACTGAAACATCCTGACACAAAAAATTCCAAATCAAATTGTTACAAACACAATCACTGTTTTTTTAAGGCTATAGTTTATATATATATAGTTATAACAAGTAGTTATATATATAAATTATAATTTTAAAGTATATTACAATAAGAAAAAATAAAATATTAATCAGTTTTTATATTTATATAATTTGTGTGATGCTGTTTTTTTATATTAAATTTGTAAGCATCAGACATAATTTTTTAAAGGTTTTTTTTTGTAATATTTAATAGTAATTAAGTGATGATACATTTTATTCCATATCAAAAATATAAGTTAATTACATAATTTACTTAAATATTAAAATATAGTTTAGGTAAAAATAATGGCATATATCAATGACATGCTTATGATATTTTCATATAAAAAAAATCTTAAATACTTTTTCTTTCAAAGATCATTTATCAACAATTTTTAATTGATATTCAAAGTTTTTGTTTTGTCTATTCAAAGAAATGGTTGAAATTATCATGCAGTAGAGAAGAATCAACTGTAGAAATATCACACAAACACCCAAAAAATGTTTTCAAGAAATGGAAGATGTTTGTTATGAGTTTTTTATTTCCTGACGATTTATCTACAACAATCATTATTGGGTGATGGACCATAACTGAATAGAATACTTTTAAATATTAAAAATATAAACCAAGCAGAACATTTCTAGAAAAGAATGAATGCAGATTTTAAAAAGAATATATATGTTCATTGTAGATGAATGAAAATGTTTGTGATAGTAAAATTAGATGCTTGTAACTGGTTTTTTTGGTGTTTGTGTGATATTGCTGTTACATGTGACAAGTTTGATTTTTGTGTGAAGGTTCAACTAATTTATATTGTAAGTGCAACCATCTGATTTAAGGAATAGAACACAAAAAATGGAATTAACATAAGAAAAAAGTTCAAAATCAATATTTCAAACTAATTTAAATGTTGGCACATTTCATTCTCTAAAAAAGTTCTGTGATTGCTCATTTCTTTTTTCTTTAGAAGCTATTGTAACAATTTTTTAAAGTTCTTAATAAATCTGGAAGTAAATTAAAAATTTTTTATCTAACCAATTACTTCACTTAATACTTGATGAATTTTAAAATAGCTAATATATAAAGTTAATCTATGTTGGTGTTGGTTCATCAGTTCTTAGTACATCTGTTAAATTATTTAATGAAGCATTTAGTCAACATAGCTGTTTTAGTACATTGTTAATGCAACCAAACATTAAACAAATTAACTATTTTAAGTTATTTTCTGATGATGTCATAAATTCAAAAATATTTTAGGTTATTCTTATTAGTTTGATTGTATAGTGTTTTATTGTTTGTAAATGGAAAAAAATTATTTAAGTTTTATTTTCTTTATTGCTATGAACTTGGTGATAATTGAATTATCTGATTTTAATGGTCTCTTTAATAACAACATTTTAAATGTATAAAGAATTTTGTTTCTATTGAATATGATACCAAATTGATTTTGGATTGGTTTGTTGTTAAATGAAATGATTTATTATTGATATTATTAGATAATTTACATATATTGAGATTATCTACATTCTTATTTATTACTGTTATATTAAATCAATCTGTGTTTTATTCTATATAAGTCTTTTGGATATTGTATTATTATACCTTCAGTGCTCACTCAACTTATAGTTAAGCACTAATTGTTAATTCACTTAGTTACAAAGCTCTGTCAGATTAACAGTTTTACCAGACTGACCAAGGTCATATAATAATAATGCAGCAGCACATCTTAGACCACTAATTATATGCTTCCCAATGTCTTTAAAGCATTGTGAACTGCTAGAAACTTAAATTAAGCATATATTAATTATGGACTGATGTTTGATACTAATGACACTTTTTTCTTTTTTTCAGAGGCCATAGCTAAAATTAAATATATGTAAAATGAATTAAAAATTGTACAATATTAAGAGATGACCAGTAACTGTAATGTAGACAATTTGTAAGTTGTAAAAATGAAAATATGCTTAATTCAGATTTTCAGGCTTGTTGAAGGTATTGGAAAAAGTTTTAACTTTACTGATTGAAATGGATTGTCTAAAGACGACAATAAAAGTTTCGTGTAACTGTAACGTAGAAAATCTAAGTGAATGCATGTTAGATCCAATGCCATTTGTGTTCATCCAGTAAACAAATCTGGCAGTCACAGGAATTTTAAATATTCTCTCATGGCTTTACCTGTGATGTGCCAGAAAATCAGTGATGAGCCTGTATTAAATTTTACTATTCTACCAAACTGTCCTTTAATGTTCATAAAATGCCTATTGTTTCACCTGTCAACTAATGGATCGTCATCACAAATATAAAATAGGTTTTTAGTGTAAAAAAATAACCTGATTTTTCTACATAAATAAAAAAATTAATTGTACAGTGGAACCTCACTTAATGACTTTTATAATTTAATAATTATAAATTAATGTTTAATTTAGATATTTCTAAAATTTAATATGAAGTGGTCATTAATAATTTGACTAGAGATAGGCATAAGCATAAGTGCCTATCTCTAGTCAAATTATTTAATTTCTAATATTTAATTATAGTCTTTACATAGCCCAAGAATTTGGCATATTGTTTGGCATGTTTATGAGACATATATTATCTGTAATTTTTTTTGTTTTTTTGTTTTTTGCAATTCGAATTTGCATTCCGTGCTAGAAGAAAAGATGATGATGATTCACACTCCTTAACAATATACAGGTAACCCCCGTATAACACGGCACTTCTATAGCACGGATTCACTCTAACATGGTTCGAGAATTGGGAACATCCCCCGTATAACACAGGTTCACTCTAACACGGTTCGGGAATTGGGTAAAACCCTCGTACAGCATGAAATGTAATAAAGGGTGCGTTCTTTTATACTTCTGTGTAACTCTGCGTGAGCATTCTAATTGTTTTCGTGGCTACTTTGAATGCTCTTTGAACAATAATCCATTTAATGGTTAAATTTTACAATTGGGACCCTTCTTTTGCCTCTAAAAGCTCATTTTAGAATTATAGATTCCTCCATCACGATACTATCGATAGTGCAGGCGCCACCATCTTTCTTTCACTGTTGTTCCTAAATGCCTACAAACAGCAACACACTCCCGTTGCAGAGCGACTACTATTAACAAACGCATACAAAAACTGTTACCAGTTGATGATGCTCATGCTGAGATCATCATAGAGGATGAATAATCCTCTAGTAAAATATTTACTTAAATAATAAATAAGTATTTCATCTATGAAAAAAACAAATAATAAATCCGACTTAAATAAGGATTTAACAGTATGTATTTTAATTTTTGGAACTTAATCCCCCTTTTCGCATTAGTTCTTTGTTTCTTATAACACGGATTCGCATAACACGGCAATTTTTTGGAATGTAACTCCCGTGTTAATTGGGGTTACCTGTATATTATATAATTTTCTTTGAATAAACATACATAAAATATTTGAGTATTTTTTTGGTGTGGAATGCATTATCATATTTTACATTAATTTATATAGGAAAAATTGTTTTGCTTAATGAGTGTTTAGCATTACAAGTAAGATTCTGGAATGAATTATTCTTGTTAAGCAAGGTTCCACTGTACATATATATATATTAGTTAACAAAAAGAAGTTTATTGTGTATTGAAATCTGACAGATGGTTATTATTTGGTTATTGGATGGTTCTCTGATAACAAAATAATAACCATCTGTCATATTTCAATAAACTTTTTGGAATTCAGACCTTGATTATATAACTTCATTTTTTACAGTAGATAAACATATATTAAAACTAAATACAGAATAAGATAAGCTAAATTTAATTCATTTTTAGATATTTAAAAATTTGAATCATATTTTTATATTAAAATAATATATTTTTAGCATCATCAGAATATATTTTTGGGTGAAAATGATATCTGCTTGATTAATATTGACAGTATATTCCATGGTAAGAAAATTTATGCTATTCTTATAGAATTAATAATTATATTTATAAAAATCTTCAAAATTTAAAAATATAATCACCAGTTTTCTTTTTAAATTTCTTCCAATTGTCATATATTTTACTAGATTGATATTTAGATTAGGAAATGTATTTTGCATGAACTTAATTCCAATCATTTTAACAATCATTAAGTGAAATATGTTTTTCAATGATTTTGTTTCTTGTTCAGAATTAAAATTATAATATGTACAAAACAGTTATTTCTGTATTTAAAAAAAGGGGATTGATCTACAGTTTATTAGCAATTTATTTCAAAGTTAATCAACTATTAACTTCTTGTTTTTAATAAATTTAATGTTTAGAGTCTTATAACAATTTTGAACCTATTTTAAATTAAAATTTGTATATCATACCATTTACTTAAAAATACATTTATAGTGTAATTTTCATAAATATTAGAAAATATTAAATTAAACAGTTTATTGGATGATTTTTTTCTTTTATCTATTTAAATTCCAAATTTTTTGAGAATATACCTAATATTAGTGACAAAAAGTAAAATATCTTCACCTGTACATGGCAAATTAAAAATTATTATAAAGAAATCAAACAGTAATGAAAACAATTATTGTAGATAAAAAGTTTATAAAATTGAATTTTTATAGCATATATCCAAGTTCATGAAATTGATGAATTTAAGTGAAGAATTCAAGAGATGTCAGATTTCTAAGTCATTCCTATGTAGTGCTATTGTTTGACACAATGTCCTTGTACAAATATATTTAACTTGAATATAGTCAACTTCAAATGTATTATATAATGTTTTTTAAAACTTTAAAATATGATGATAAAGTATTATTATTATTTTTATATTTTGTAAATGAAGAGGATCCTATATTAACACATTTTGGATATGTATACAGAATATAAAAAAAAATTTTGAGATATTAGACTGTTTCTGCCTCAATTATAAAAATGGAATTTTTATATCTAGGTTGGGAAAGGTTCAAGTAATTTTAGATAAATTATAGAAATAAATAAAAATCATATAGCTTGTGATGAGTGGCAACTTGAGATAAATCATTGTTTTTTCCTACATGTAGCAAGTAATAGAACATCTCAGTTTTATTATGAAAACATAAAATTTAAACTAAAAATTTATTAGAAAAATTAATTTTAAAAGTTATACTTAAGAGTCATACAATTTCATATATAAAATATTTGTTTTTAAATTGTCTTTTACTACTATGTCATAAATTTTAGACATAAAATCCATCAATGGTTTCTTTATAGTATCAAATGGTAGAAAGAAAAAATTATTACCAGGAAGTATCATTTCCAGTCAGATAGAAATAATTGAAATTCACTGCAAGGTAAAGTGAATTTTATAATATAAATTTTTTGTTATAAAGTTAATAATTTAATTTGTTAATTTTTATTTTAGGATTTCCGCATCTATACTTTCAGCTTCAAGTTCTCTCCTAGCGGCTTCAATAAACAGGTATTAATAAAACATTTACATATTTTTTTATATGTAAATATTCTAATGTATAAAACTTTTTTAAGAACTGTTCTGTTAAATTAATTTAAAAATTTAAATAATTTCTCTACTAGTAAAAATTACTACACAGGTAAGCAAATTTCAACTAATAAAAAAAACTTTTTGGACTTTGAGATGTGATTTTTACTAACAACTATGGATACAACTCAAAACAATCTCTGAAATGTTTCCATCACATAACATTTTGATACAAAGGCTTTGCAAAGTTTTGTCAAAAATTCATAAAAGCATATTACAGTAGAGCGTCGATTATCCGAATCAATTGGGAACTGGGATTGTTTGGAAGATCTATGTTTCGGATAACTGATTATGTACGAAAAAATATATTAATTTATCTCATCTTGACATTTTTCTCCATTGGTGTTGCTTTGCGTTGAATTTTTGTCGATGTTAAGCCTAATGAAGACTATTGTATGATTAAAAATTATTTTTTTTATTTTGTACAAACAAAATAAATATATTGAAATATATAAAAACAATAAAAAATTATACTTCAGAAGTTAATTTAGTATCAAAAGCGTAAATAGTAAATGAGTAGCCCGAGAAATAGCCGAAGATTGCAGCGCCACAGCACTGGCAAAAATTTAAATTAGCCAACTGGAATTGTTTCAGATGATTGACTTTCGAATAATCGATGCTCTACTGTATATACACATGTGCATAATAGTGTTTTAATTTATTTTAATACAGAAAAAAATTACCAATTTCAGTTTATTATTCACATAGGTTCCACTGTAATATTAAAATCCTCAAAATATGTTTAAATGAAGATGAAACAAAACATTTCTTGGTCAGCAATATGTGTGCTAGAGATTTACAGATGTTGCTATTATAAAAATGAATGTAGACTTAAAATTTATTTAGATTACATTATAAAGAACAAAATATGTTTAAATAGTGGTACATGTGTTTTGATTAAATATGTATAAGTTTACTAAAATTTTTGTCTTTAACAATCTTACTTCATTGCCTAATGATTGCTGAGAAAAACTGCATATTCAACAAACATTTTCAACTCATTATCACACATTTTGTTCAGGTTTTTGAATTAATTTAAAAATCAATTTTTCTCAGCAAGTGTTAGGTGGTGAAGTAAGATTGCTGTATCTCTCTGCTGAGTGTTCTTGAGTAAATTTGATTTTTTTCATTCTTTTTCCAATTAAATAGAATTATTTGTTTAATTAATGTAATATTTTTTTCAGATTATCAATGCTCTTCTTTATCATGCCTTCGTTCCAAAAGTGCAATTATTATTTTTATTTGATTATTTAGAACATGATAGTAAGTTCAGGTATTTCTTTTTTTTTTTTAAATATTCAGGCAAAACTGATACATAAAATATAAAAGATAGTTTTGCTTTTTCAAAAAATATTTGTCTTAAGAAATCAAAACATATGAAACATACTAACTAATCTTTTTATTTTTAATTGATAGAAAATGCTACATCTAGTCCAATACCATTTTCACTTCCAATAGACTGGGAGGCAGAATTGACTCGTTGTTGTTGTTGTAGTGGTTGGAGAGTAACCCAAGTAAATGAACGTTACCAAATGTGTGAGAGGTATTGTCAGATATAAAACTAAATAATTTAACATGTAGTAGAAAAAAAAATACATATGTAGTATTTTTTTATGTATCTAATTAATTGTAGACTAATAAATTTATTAATGATTAACAGTGGTATAGATTTGATGGTATAATTAAATATCAAAAACTGTTTATAATTAAATAATTTCAGAAAAAAATTTGAAGGGTGTTTTATGCTTCTAAATTTTGCATTTTATGTGAATACATTTACTGATTGCATTATTCAAATCTGGTGCATATTCTTCAAGGTCTTTTAACAGAAGGATTGCTTGTAGCTATTTATAACAGAAGTAGATTTACATATTTGCAGATAATAAATTGATTTTTACATTTGGTATGTTAGTTTCTGATACTGATACTCAACTTGCAATCACATGCTTATAATATCTATTATTTTTTATAAGAGAAGTTATTTAATCTATAAGAATGAATTTTGTGTATTATTGAATATTATTTAAAATTTTAAAACTTTATTATAAGATTGATAATTTATTTTTGTTTCAGTCTTCCAGAATGTTTTGTGGTACCTGCCAATCTTTTTGATGCAGACATAACTAAAGCTGCACCACATTTTATAGGTCACAGAGTTATGGTAAGTTTTTCTCTTTAATGTTGTTCTAATTAATAATTCAGTTTAATTTATAACTTAATTAAACATCAAAAACCTTCTACTGCTGAGAAATGTTTATTAAATGAACACTAATGTTTTCAACTTACTAGAATAGGCCATCTTCAGGTGTAACTGAATTTGAACATATTTTAAAAAATTTAATATTCTAACAACTAAACGTTCAAATAATTTACATTTAAATTTAAAATGAAGATATTAAAATAAATTAACAAATAAATAATAAAATATATCTTAATATTATCATTTTAAATTCAAATGTAAATTATTCAGACATTCAGTCTTTAGAATGTTAAATTTTTAAAATACATTCAAATTCAGTTACACCTGAAGATGGCCTATTCTAGTAGGTAGAAAACGTTATTGTTCGTTTAATAAACATTTATCATCGCTAGAATATGTTTGATGTTTCATTAACTGTTTAAAAAGGCTGATATTTGTTAATTTATAACATTGATTATTCTTTTGTTTGTTCTATCCTTGTCTAACCTCTCTTGTTAATGTGGTATTTCTGGTATCTATAGATCATATTATAGATATTGATTTAGAGACCAAACATCACTGGACTTTTTCGGATTATAATTTCAACTAAAGGCATGCTGTCTTTAGTTCCCATTAGGCATCCACCCTTAGTTCCAAATTATAATAATAATTTGATGTTTTAACTGTAGCTCAAAAATCCAGCAATATTTGAATTATAATTAAATAATCATTACTTACATAAATATGAATTAAAGTGATTTAAATAAAGTTTATAATTATAATAATAATTGAATTGCAAGGATGTTTTTACAAATCAGAAATTTTTTCCAAATGTATTTGATTACTGGAAAATATTACTAGTCATATTTAGATTATTGATTAATTTGATTTGGTCCATTTTGAGATAAACCTTTCTGATGTATCAAGGTAACTCTTTATCCATAAATTTGGCTACAGTTGAATAAGGAAGATAAAAATTGAGTTTACGACAAATTGAAGTGATTTGTTAAAGAAATAACACATAACAGGAATAAAAAAAATGACTAAAATAAATCTTAGTGATAAGAAAACCTGAGAATTTTGGATAGAAAATTCTTATTCCTGAAAATTCTTATACCTGAATAAGAATTTTTTATCCAAAATTCTTATTCAGGTAATCATATTTCATTGAAAATGCCAATTTCTTTTGGCTATTTTTGTTTAATTAAGTTTGTGATTTTTATACTTTACAATGAATGGTAAAATTGAGGCTATGGAAATAAAAGGAGAAATAATAGTATTTAGACTATTTTAACTGTAAACAAAGCTAAGGGATGATGATAATATAAAGGAATATTGAATATTTATAAAAGATACTGAAATAGAAATCCAATAGAAATCCAATTTAGAAAGTGACATTAATAAGTCTGAGACAGATACTGTTACCAGGATTTGATTTTTTTAAAAATTACTAGAATGTTAAATTCTATTTGTGTTAAAAGTTTGAAAATCTTTTAAAATAGTTCTTATGCAGTTAACATAATACATAGCTTCCAATGAAAATAGTATAGATCCTGTTTTTATGAAATTAGTTCTTGTTAAATTTCACATAACATGTTTCCCAACAATTTTCCAAATTTTTCAAAGGCTGTATTTATAAACTGAGTTTACTTTTCTACAAGTACAGTTTGAATTATATAAAATTATATCAAGATTGTTAAGAATAAAATATGGCATTTGAAGACTGCAATTCATATAGTCAGCAGATGATTTATACCAGTTGTAAAAGTAAAAAATTTTCTGTTTTTTAAATTTTTTGTTTTCTATTAAAAATAAGGATAAACGAGAACTAATTGGAATAAAATGTTTAATTCAGTTCAAAGTTCTCCTCCCAAGGTATTAAGTGATATGTGAATAAGTTTATAGAGAGACAATCTCTAAATGAACTTTATTTCATGTAATTTTTGAATTCTTTGGAATTATATTCATTTATTATAATTATAAGTTATTGATATAAAACGAAGGTTAACATTCGGCTGTAAGTATTGCAGTCCTTGAAATTCCGGCTTTAACTAGGAAAATTTTTATTTTTCCAATAAAAGAATAGTTTAATTAAAATTTGCTTTTTGTTTAAATAAACGTTTATTTTGAGAAGGAATAAATTGAGAAACATTTGGTTTGAGAGAAATAATTTATTTTATTGACAAGACAAACGACACTTGCAGTACATCATATATTAAAAATATATGAAGACATTTATAGACATTCTTTAAAATTTCATTAGTAGCGAGAATTTTCTTCAATTTTGCGAGAGTAGTTAGGCAATTATTATTTAAATTATTTTATATTTATTTAAATTTATTTAATAAAAACTGAAGTCGATTTTATTGTATTTATATATTGTAAAATATATAATTAAATTTACACATAAAAGCATTCTTTAATGTAAGTACATTTTTTTAACTTTAATAGCAAGCCATGTGATTAACTTTCTGCATTTACTTTAAAGATAGATGAGCACTTTATCTAAAATGCATCCATTGTGTTCTTTATCAAAGCACTGTTGTATAAAAACTGTTTTCTTAAGAAAATAGAATAACTTATTCTATAAGTGTTTGTACCCTCTTATAATAGTTTAATCCTAATATTTTTAACGAAAATATAAAAAAAAAACATTAAAAGATTATTATTCTTTGTGTATTACTAATATTGTTTATACAAAAAAAATTATTAATAGATATTAAGAGCTGATTAAAAGCTGATAATTTATCATAAGATCAGCTTAACAATCTAGAACAGACAGATACTGTTTTATANTTTATTTAATTTAAAATATATTCTCTCCACCTCAAATTAATGGTTTGTCCCTGTACATCTTACTTTTCCTTTAAAAATATAGTCATGTCGGTCATCTATCTAACACTTTTTGAGGGAAAATTTTTGAATTGAAATAACATGACTTGTGATTTGCATTGGAAGTTCGTATATAGTTAATTGGGGTCTCCTGCCTCTAAGCTTTTCATATCTGGTCTCATCTTTCAACTATGTAAGACTGACAGATTAAGAAAGATTAAAGAAAGACTGACGGATGGATGACAGTAGGAATTTATAGGTCTCCAATTTTTTCAAATTGCAGCTCAATTACTTATAATTTTTAAAATTTATTTTATCATCATTTTCTTATTTCTTCTGTTCTGTATTAATAAAAATTATTAATATTTTTTAGCATGATTGAAGCAGTCAGTTCAGCTCATCCACATCAGTATCCTGCTCGTGTGATTGATGTTGAGTCAAACTGTCCCTCCATTAGAGAAATTCAAAACAGTTATTTAAAGTTACGTGAAATATGTATGCCATGTAAGTATCTAACTATTTAACCTGTCCTACATTGATTCCGAAAATATTCATGTTGACCTCATTGACCTGTGTGGGCGATCCCGAATATTTCCGTTTTTGAAACTAGATGTTGCTTTGCGTCACAATTTTTATATTAAAACGAACTTTTAAAATAAAATTTTTTCGTTTTTATATTATTTAATATATATATTTTGTTTGTGAACCATAAAAAAATAATTTTTTACGATACAGTAAACACGATTATTATTTTAAAAAAAAATTTTAGGCTTAACTCGACAAAAATTCAACATGGCATCACAGGCAACAAATAAAAATTTCAACATCGAATAGGTTAAATTCTTTAGTTTAATAAATAGAATAAATTTAATATCATTTTAAATCAGTTTGTTGACAGATTAAAAATTGCAAGACAAAATGCCTTTGCATTGTATATATCACAGTTTGAACATAACAGTTTGCATTTGACATTCTAATCTGTTAAAATGATGAATGACTCTTCATTTATATGCATTCTGAATTAGTCATAACTTTATTTCAATTTCATTTATTTTTTATAACTATTATATGAAAATGTAACCATAAAGTATTTTAAAGAATTAATTGCAATTAAATTTTTTATCAGTTTTTGCAGAAAAATTAATTTAAATTCAATCTCTAAATTCGATTTAATTTTAGAAGGCAAAACAAATTCTAATGTTAAGAAGGAAAAGGAGAGTTAGAAAGAAAATGAACATTCAGAAAAAAATAAAATAAAAATCTTTAGAAATTAAATATGTATATATTGGGTGGGCAAGCAAGAGTTCAGTGGGAGCTGAAATGTAGGTTTTGCAAATTGCATGGGAGCCATAGTTCTGTACTTTATTCTGTACTGCAATTTTATTATATAATATAAATATAATATAAAACAAATATTTAATTTTTATAATAAACATATTTTCACAAAATTGTGGAAATAAAATTGTAAAAATAATAATAATAAGCAGAAATTAACACTTTCAGCAAGAGCCATATGTAACTCAAAAAGAGCTGCATTTGCCCCTCAGAGCCACATTTGCCCATGTCTGGTATGTCTATTAATTTTTAGAAATTTCTTGTAAATTGATTTAAAAAGTCATCACTAACTAAGGGTAGGACATCTAGGCACTAAAAGTCATATATAAATATGACTTAGTGCCTAGCCTTAAACCTAAACTTGTATGTGATGACTATCTCCATCAGTTTGAGTTAAACTAGCTTGCATTTAAGATTTTTTATTTGCATGTTATTCAAGTTAAGTTTTTCTGAAGATGGAACTTGCAATGCCCAAATGTAAAAGATAATATTTTCTTATAGTTTGCTATAAAGTAGACTGGGTGAGATGATGTGTGGCTGTCCCTAAGCCTAGCTAAAGAAGCTGGTGAGGTGGCCAGTCCCATACCAATGCCAGCTTTACCCTATAGAGATCATCCATTGTATCCATTGAAAAGAAGGCTAGGTGACCCACAGACTTACATGAGCTTCCATAAGTATAAACTAATGCTATTGAAATTCAATCTTGGTTCATCCACTCAATAGTCCAGCACCATATCACTAGATCACCTTAAATCTTGATAGTCAAATATGTTAAAGCTAAACATTCAAATGTGTACTGTTTTAAACAAATTATAATTATATGATATAGTTAGAAATTTTTTGTATAATTTATTTTCTATTAGATTAAACAGATACTGAAAGATTATTATTATGTTCAACTTTAGTAATTAGGTACTGGTATAATATACACCACTCTCTCTTCAACCTTAAATAACCAGTAAAATATTTTAAACAAATGCTACAAACGTTTCGACTGTTATTTCAGGTCTTCTTCAGGCAGATAGTTCCGAGATTCGAATATCCGTTGTGCTTGAAAAATTTTTTTTTAAATTGTTCTTAGAACGTATGAACTGATGCGTATAGACATTCTCATTGCGCGTGTGTACTAAGCTTGGCTTATACAAATGAAATAATATATTTTTTTTAACACCCACATATAAAACTGTGGAGATCTGGATTAAATAGTGTCTTCTCGTTCATAATACAACTTCCAGGCGTTAGAAATATTAATAGCATCTTTGGCATTAATGCAGTTATTGTGTAGCCCAGCTTTGTATATTTCGAGAGTTTCCAGCGATCGTATATGTTCTCTTCTGCTTGATAGGTTAATTATTTGGGTGTTATGCAGGTCTGCTGTTATGCCTGGAGTCGAAGCATAAGTACATAAGGCAGTGGTGCTCCTGTTATGTTCAATGTCATACCTATGCTCCCTTATACACTTATCTAGAGAGCGTATCGTGGAGCCAATATATCTATCTGCCTGAAGAAGACCTGAAATAACGGTCGAAAACGTTTGTAGCATTTGTTTAAAATATTTTACTGGTTATTTAAGGTTGAAGAGAGAGTGGTAGATTATTATTAAAAGAATCATACTTCTTCAATTGTCATAATAATTTTTTGTGAACTTATTAATTTCTTAAATATTGTTATAATGATTTTATTGGATTAATTTTTTTTTCTAGCAACTCCACACGAATTTTGGGAACAAGATTCCCATTATCTTAGTGCTCTTGAATCGTCACGATGGCTTCATCATATATCATCTTGTCTTCAGACATCTTTACAAATTGCTATTACTTTGTGTCAAAATAAGCATTCAGTAATTATTCAAGGTTAGTAAATATTTCATTTCATTTAGGACAGCAGTTGCCAACCTTTCTGACATCATGAACCATAAAACTCACAATTTTGAATTTCGTGGACTATTACGAATTTTTTTACATGATACAAATGTCTATGTAAGAATGATCATAGAAGTTCCAGTTTACTTATTAATATGAATTTCACTTGTTTAATTTAACAAATTAGTGTAAAGTTTGTTGCTGCTTGTTTGAAATAAGTTTATGCAATCTTGGCTGATTTCCACAAAGGATCACAATTGCACATCATTTATTGTTGATTATTTATTGATTTATTGATAAGTCATTTCGTGTTTGGTTTAAGATTCAAATAAGAAACCTCCAATGAGTAAGAAAAAGCAACCAAGTATTTATATTTCTTTCATAACACTTTGCATAACCTTCAGTTGATCAATGTCCAAATTTCTCCATGGACCACCAAAATTGTTTCATGGACCATCAGTTGGCAACTGCTGATGTAGGAGATAATAAAAGTTTTGCAATTTTTATTTTTTTATTATAAATAATTGTTTAAAATATATTTATCTATATCTATACTACTATATAAAATAGACAATGTATTTTTCGTTTGTGACCACTAACCGTGAAAACTACTGAACCAATCGTTACCAAATTTTAACTGTAGCATCTTTATGATTCCTGGAATGTTTACCACTAATCAAACCTACAGACTTTTTATTAATTAAATAAAACTGCAAAAGATTTTTGTCTGTCTATTTCTCTCTCTCTTCACTAGATGGCGACACATGAATTGGTACTTTCTGTTTATAAGAAAAGTCTATTATTGAAGTTTACTATTATATTTGAAGAACTGACATTAAATTATAATTAGTTAATTAGCAAAATCTTGGAAGAATTAAAAAAAATGACGTCATTATGCTAGATGGCAGTATGTGTACTTATTGCAGGTTTTTGAATCATTATGCATTAATTTCTGCAGGTAATTGTACACAATATTTGAAATAGTTATTGGATTTATCCCAAGTGAATATTTTTGTGATTGATTGATAAATAATGCTGAGAGCTGCAAGAGCACGAATAGGAAGAAAAAGTTCTAGAGCTATTATTGTTCGTAATTGTAGATAACGTAAATCTATAGCAGAGTTGTCGCAAAGACTGGAAGAGCAATGAATTTGTTCAGCTCGGAATCAAATTCAGAATCAAATGCATATAGCAAGGAATTTTTTAGGTTTCAAATCAATATAACTTATTCAGAAGTTTTATGATTTTATTTTTTTTATATTTTGCAATACTACACATTGGTCACCCAAAAATAATTAATGAACAATTAGTTCAAATTTTCGAATTTCTATATGTATATAAAAGTGGGTGAGACCATGATGGGGGATGTTAGTAGAATATATTTTTATTATTTTTATAAAACCATATTGAGTTTTTTGTCAGTGTGGTACGAGAGTTGTTTCTTTTTCAATGGTCCATAAAACAAAGACAAGTGTAAATAACAAAATAAATTTATTACCAAAAGTTAGGTGCAAACATGGTTACTTTTTGATATAATCACTGTGAAGATTGAGGCATTTGTCATATCTGTGGACAAGCTTTTCCCTCTCCTTTTTATAGAATGCTGTCACTAGTGAATTGAGATGGCCTTAATGACATTGTTTTGAAGATCGTCATTAGTCTCAAACCTGTGCTCTCCTAGTCATGTTTTCAGTTCAGGAAAGAGGTCTTCACACACTAAAAAGTTCCAAGCTGGATGGAAGTTTTCACTACCTTTAAACACCCTGTGTATAGCCCCAATTTAGTACCAAGCGATTTCCATCTCTTTCTTCAACTGAAAATGTGGCTAGGAAGACAGAGGTTCAAGACTAATGATGATCTTCAAAACAAAGTTAGGGCCCATCTCGAGTCATTGGTGGCAACATTCTATGAAGAGGGGATGGAAAAACGCATCCACAGATAATCACAGTGAAGATTGAGGCATTTGTCTATATTACTTTGTCTATAACTATATTACTTTCATCTTCATCAGAACTTTCATTGTCATCATTTCTGTTTGAAGAAGATTATGACAATGAAATAGTCTCCTTGAACAGTACATCATTGTTCTGTCCAAGTTGTTGGTAACACAACATTTCTTAAAGCCCTTTATAATTGTATCTCTTCACTGACAATCTTTTCTAATACTATTACTGTTCAAGAATGTGGAACTTTTATTACTTTTTAATCTATGCCATTGTTTACAAAAATTAGTTGTGTTCAATTACATTTCTTTCTTTTCAAAATTACTTCAATTAGAAATATGTTTTTTAATTTGATTCCCAGATATTTGTAAATACAATCAGCATAAATAAATTTCTAATTGCTTTCTTACTAATTTTTACAAATTGCATTTAAATCATACCTAGTCAATTGAAAAACTGTATTCAAATGGTTTGTTTTATTGAAAGAAATATATGAATTGGACATCTATAATATAAGTGACAAATTGTAACTTACTGTTTTTTGTTGACATCAATAAAAAAACAAAATTAATAGGTTATGAAGCAAAATCAAGCAATGCCCTATACACTGGATAGTATCTGACATATACATTACACTAGGGAGCTAGACTAGCATATTTCACATGTATTCCAGAAAATGTATTTGTAGTTTTATGACTATCAGAAATGAAATATGAAGTTCCAGTTTCATTTCTTATAGTCATAAAACTGAAAATACACTTTTTGGAATACATGTGAAATAAGCAAGGAAGTCTAGTTCCTTAGCCCCTCTAAAAGCTCAAAACTTTCTAGAGAGTAGCTAAAGAAATTAATACCAAGCCTGAAAAAAGATCTGGAACTTGGAGCCAAGAATTTTTAAAGAATATATGGCTCTGGCTCAAATATTGGGTGCCAGATAACCATACATTTCAGATTATCTGGTGCTAGATTGATGAACTTCTACTATATGTAAAATTGTTTTTTTTCATAAATTTATTTCAATGTATTGATTTTAGAAAGTTGAAACAAGTAGAATTAGAATTGAAAATAAAAATATTTATTTGTTCTCCGTTTGAATTGTGAGGACTTGGTTCTGGACTAACAGTAATTGAATTTTTAATCCAAAGATGCTATAGAGATAGACAAGATGATGATTTAAAATGATAAATACTTATTCTCCATTGATGTTTCTAAATTCAAAATTCTCCTTGATGATGATGATGATGATAATAATAATAACTCTCCCGTGGTCACCACCTGGTCGTGGTGGGAGAGCCCAGTAATTTTACAGATCCATAGGGCAATGCAGGCTGGAGCACAAGCTCCTGGTAGGGACACCCATGCCAGTAAGGTCTATGGGGAGAAATGAAGCTAAGAGTGACCACACACCCACATTCTGTGGAGATAATCATTATGGTAGTAACCAGATCTAAGT